GCTCCACACCACACCTAAATGGGCGAAAAGAGCGACAGTGATGATGATTACATGTCAGACAAATTCCTGAACCCACCGTAAGAGTTTCATAGTACTATACATTTTTAGTGATGCGCCTTCTCGTTCAGATTTGCTTCTTAACAATAAGAAGCATCATAAGTCCGTAGAGAACCCGCAACGTTTCCAAGGCGTAACAAAGGGGAAGCAAATGGTTGTTAAGCGCGAGGAGGGTTTGAAAAGGCGTATTGGGGAAGATAACGTTGGGTTTAAAATAATGAAGAAGATGGGTTTTACGGGTGAGGGTGGAATCGGCAAAAATTGTAAGTGCCATTATTCTTCAGCAATGTCGTTAGATGCTATTTCTAGCTGTGTGTAGCTCTTTTTAGACTTTAAATATTGTTCTTCGAGCTGTAAGAATATATCAATGTAGTTACAACAGAATAAGGGCACCCAAACGCTAAGTTAAATTTTCACTTGAAATTCCGTCTGGAATCTCAGCATTATTCAATGACTTCTAAATGGTGGCAAGCTAATTCCTTAATGCCCGGGATTTTACTTAAAGAGGAGCATTATTTTCGCACTGCAGGAATTATTCTATTACGTCATTGGAATTTACGTGTTTTGCAACATTAATATCTTTTAATAGCCCTCTTTTGCAGCTTCACTGTTTTGGAGAATCTATTTTGGTTGATAGTATACTAGACCAATTAATACTGGGTTGTGTCGTCATGAGCTACTTACATATTCATGTGTTAGAATGGTCTTGTTCTTGATAACGAAACGATCGAACCGCTTTGATGAATTAATCATGTTTTATTTTTCCACCCAGTTTTGCAGTATTAAAATTCATGAACTTAGTTTTGTTGAATTGCAGACCATTTTAATGGTTATCGTATTTTACCTTGATTTGAAATCAACTGTTTCAACAATCAAAGTATATTAATATCGGGAATAAATTTTTTAATGTTTGAATGAAATAGGAATGATTATTTGTATGCTTTTCCAGTATTCCTATGTAATCACCAATGTTTTTAGCGTCAGCTCATGGTATCCGTCTTTAGTTTTCTTCTCATAATTTTTTTGAAGACGGGTTGTGCTAGATTGCAAGGTCTACCGGTACTACGCTCTTTGGTTTTTTAATACTCCAGCTGAAGGTCGCTCAGAACCGGTACCAATATCCGTAATCGATGGACGCAAAGGCCTTGGTCTCCACAATATAAAGGAAAAACGAGACGAGGCATTCGCAGCAGCCAGACAGCAGCGTGATCTCAAGATATCCGCTTTCCAGTCTGATTTTCGCGCTTCCATGGCCTCAAGGTTTTACATGGAGCGGGTTCAGCGACAACTGACCGCCGCCCGGTCAATTTGCAAACAACTTGACTTGGCTCAGTCCCTAGAACAGCCTGTTGATAAGGCATTTTGGCCCCCGGACGATTTGACAGCAAAACTGCTTGCTCAGTCGAAGGTGATTCGACGGGAAATCTGCCGGTCAGAGCCTCGGCGCAGTTGTGCCAAAAAACCTAAACACCTAACCGTCCCACCAAATAAAACAGAAGATTCCCCAGAATCCCTGGATGCGCCACTCGGAGAGTACGACTCTGTCCTCGGCATCGAATCTGATGAAGAATATTACGATGTCGACGCCGCTCAGCACGGACCCATCGAATCGGAAGCAAGTTTTTTTTGAATTTTAAGGCTGCATTAATTTTATGTGACGTGATAATCGCGACCCCTAACCTCAGTACAGTAAAATATATTTTACTTACCTTTGACTTTCCTTTTGGCTGTGCATTGTTGATGAACAATTTTTATTTTTCCATTCTCGGTTAGGCGTTGAATCGGTCATTCGACACGATATATACTCATATTTTGTACTTGTTCATGTATTATTGAAGGGCAGGTAACCAAAAGTCTTTATGAGCCATCTCAAACGTATATTGTCAACTATGCTACTTTTGCAGTTTTTTTACATATTTGGTGTTAACAGATTGTATTTGCCACACATAATTCTATTTTTTACATCACCAATTTAGAATCCGAACGTATCACATCTTTTCGCATGCAAAACTGTTTGCGTTTCAATTAATGGAGACCTGAGTTTTACCTGGCGTGTAGTTCTCATCAATGGTTGTCATTGTTTCTTTGAACACATCCCTTGTTGATCACTAGCCACTACATGTCCGAGCAACTTTTGGGTCAACACTGCCTCGATTGTCTCAGTGAAAATATTTCTCTAAATTTAAGAATGCTCAAAAGGAATCTGTGTTCTGACCAATCTGTCACAAATTACCACTTGCCTTCCCGTAAAACTTTTAATATACAATCTGGAAATCCTGTTTCCTTTACTCACTTCACCTCTTCGTGGTTAAAAGAGTTCAAATGCGCTGTTGCTTTCCTTGGTGGTAGGCAACACTCATCCGTATTCAAATCTCCCTGGTCATGCATTCCATTTCATACGATGGAGTCCATTAATTTTGGCACACTTATTTTTAGCCTGATGTGATCCTGGCTCGTCTTTCCGTCTACCTAAGGGAGTCCCATTCCTACTGCTTCTGGTGCGGTGAGCATTACTCAAACAATTCCGACCTCATGACCAACTGCCCAGGTCCGTTAGAGGAAGATCACGGGTAATGGACTTGGCCTATTGTGGTATATTTATTCCTGTACAAAAGACTTAGGTGTTTTCTCAGTTTTGTATGACTGTATGAATGTATATATGTTGTCGCATCTGAGTCGGATGCTCTTGGGGTGGCGTTAGAAGTCGGGGTTAATATATCTGTAAACTCAAGATGACATGGGTGTGTGCGTGATTGTAGGTCACTGCGAGCTCCCTTAGGATTTGTACATAGTGGTATTCAAGCGAGAGTTAGCATGAGCAGTGAAGTTGTCGTGTATTGAAGCGGCTGTACAATTAAGAATGATTAGAGGGTGATTTAACTTTGGGTCAAGTCATGTGTGGACGGTGGTGATAGGCGTGCGGAAACATGAGTCACCACAGGGAAATCAAGCTCGTGCACCCACCAGCCAGATCGCTCGGTGTCGGCTGACCACTGTGTACCGGAAATCTTTCGGTTGCCTCCAGTGCTGATCTAGCCACAACTTTTAAGTCTGCAGTCATTCTAACCGATTGCCAAAAGGCATGTAGCAGGTTGTCAATAGCATGGTGAAATACGTATACTTAAGTTCATTCAGCATAGTATGTAGGCATTTGTGTGGAGTAAAGGAAATTTTAATGAACTAGTTACTCCCTGCAAAAGATTGATTTAGTTACTTGGCATCGGCAATGCGAGAAGGCGTATCACTACAAATAAAAGATGGACATTTACATTTATTTACTAATGGATAGTTTTTTTGTTCAATTCGTCGGACCAACAATTTGTGTAAGCATAAGGAGTAGAGATCGTGCAGAAGTCATTCTAAATTTTATAAATCGTTCGGCGCTGCGTTATAGGTCATACTCAACTCCTGGCTGATGGTTAAAAGTTAGTGGACTCAGTTCCGCTCCATTTATGGGCTTAATGACTGTCGGACAACGCAAACACGACTCTGACACATCACTAGAGAAGCCTGCAGAGGTGGCTGGCCGAATCCGTTGTAAAAAAACTTTTCCCAGCTTAGACGAGCACAGGGAGATTGTTTACTTGAAAATAATAACGCAGCTTGGGACGTTGTTAGCACGTACATGTGGTACCAATGAATAATCCTAAAGTGGTTTCGCGGAAGAAGGCAGCTCATATTTACTGTCCTAGCAGAAAGCAGGAATAAATCCGGCCTTAGCGGACCACGACAAATGGTAGACGGCCTCATTTAGGGAAAGAAGGTCTGTTGTAAAAGTTCTTCCACCCGTTTCCGCCGTCTTAGCCAATCCTGGAATGGATCTGGCCTCCTCCGGCATCATAGTCACTCCCATCGTCAAGACTTGAAGCCATCCAATGTACCTTCGAGAAATGGTGTGGCCAGCTAGCAACTGCAGCTATTGGCTTAGGCACTCAAGCCAGACGTCTAAGTGCGCGGATCAACGTGCAACCGATTTTTATGGAATTGTAAAAATAACTTCCCCTTAGCAGGTCACTTACCATCTTCTGAAGGGAAAACGCAATTACCTTTCTCACACGTCTGTCTGGTTAAAGTCAACTTCCTTCCTCGACCATTCACATCTCCACAGGTCATGCAATACATTGCTTCCGCCAATCTGGTGAAAGTGATAGACAGGATTTGCTTAAATTGAATCACCTCTTTTAGAAAATTGCATATAAACTAAATAGGGTTCGGGGTAATGGCAAAATATGCCAACAGGTAGTTCTTTTTCATTTTCCTTCGAACATTCTAATAAGCCTTCCATTCTTCTACTTGGAGTTTTTTTTAATTTTTATAGTTGAAAGTTAGATTAGACGGTTAGGGAGGTAAAGTAGTCATGTTTTTGGATATAGTCCTTATTTATCAACTCCAAACTGGCCTGAGCATTTTGTCAATGACTTGATTTGGCCGTAGTCATTACGCCTTATAGCAGACGTGCGGAATCAAGTTATTATCCTACTTATGTATTTCCAGTAAACCGTTAGGATTGAACTTGATCGAATGCCTCCCCAAACCTTGATCTTGACGAATGTGCTTTTTTAACCACCTACTAGACTGCAGGTGTATAGGGCATGCTAGAATACGTCAGTCTCTATTCTGGGGAACACTCGAACGACGTAGTGAACAAGGTCACTTGTCACCAGTGCTTTGCTATCACCTTAGATTGCTACCCCAAAGGTGGAGGGTGGGATCGAGGATGTCTTTCCTCGATTCTCTAACAGAGGAAGATTGTATTTTGAAGACAAAGCCTCTCACCAACCCAGGCCACACGGTAGGCACTACACAATGGGTGGTGTACCATACTTTGAGTGCTCACTTAGTGGGAAGGTTGTATCTTCCCAAGCTCTTTATTTCAGCCGATTTCGACGTTTCCTCATATTACTTGTATCGTGTACATTGTCACTGAAATTGTGCGCCATTTTGTTGTGGGATACTATCAACTCGTCTCCAAGGAAGCGTTGTGGTGCTTCGATGGAACCTCAGAGAGGGGAACGCCAGGAACGTGAGCTGTCAGTAATTGTGAACACCCCATCGCCAGATGTGCTGCACCTTCCCGACCCCAGTTTGAGTTGTGCTCACGCGTGCTGCAAGCGAGCCCCCCCCCGCCACGCCAACACGCAGGTGCGCGCCTCTCAAGAACACACGCCAGGCCGAGGTCTGCGGTCGCCTATGCGTCCCCTCGAAGAAAGGCCAACTCCGTCCCTCAATCTGGCCTGCTTCCAATAGGGTTTAAGTGAAAAGCTTGTCTCTTCCTAAACATGCTGAATTACATACCTGCGTTGCTAGTAATAAACCTCTCTTCTAATGGCGAAATTCGTGTCGTTTATTTTTAAGTGACAGTCAGCAGTTTCCATTTCAATATTTCGGATAAGACAAATTATTGTACCTTGACAAATTTAAAGCTCGCAACTCGTGACAGTCAGGAGACTCGTTCCCTCCTGCTTCTCAATGCCTCAAGTGTTCACTCCGGACCGGAGTGCATCAAAGACCTCAAAGTATCCATCAAAATGGGTGATGTTTAAACCACAGTCACACTGGTGCACGCAACGCAACACGAGAGCTAAGTCGTGCCGCGCAGTGAGCAGCATAGGCGGCATTGGGCTCGCGCGTGGCAGGCGTGCCTGGTTGTGGCTGGCGTGTGATGCCGACGGCGACGACGCAGCGCGCAGTCACATGCGTCGCATCACAAGTCCAATGACCTTGCCCGCTCTTGGTCAATGCCAACAGCCCATGCTAAATGACGTTGCCTTCAATCACTGAACGCCACTCTCTCCCTCTCATAGGATTAACCTAAATGTGCATTCCACCTGGTCGAGCTGCATGTGTGCAGCAATAACCTGGCAGTGAAATGCAGCGGTCAACTAATACCACCCTGCCTCCTCTGCTTCATGGTCGATCAGTGATGTTTGTCTTGCCCTAGTGATCAACATCGCTTATCAGTTAGGGATAGTGAGATGTAAGAGAGCTGGCTAGAATCACCTCCTACGAGACGACTACCTCATCACGCGCCACCTTGATCCGATGCCCCGGGTCCTGAAATCCTTGATAACAGCCACGTTTACTTAGGTCTAATTAAAGGTTGCATGAAGTGTTAGGCAGTGGATTTAAGATAACTGCAGTCAAATTTGTTTTACATAGTTGGCAGGTATTTGTAAGGAACTTGAATCTAACAAACCCCACTGTAATAAGTTGAGGCTAGGCATTTTCTTAGGGCTGGATGAAAGATTGCCATCATGTAAGAAATCTTACATGCCATCATTGTTATTTCATACTAAAAGTTGTTAATTTCGCTGTCCGGATGCGATAGTGTTTTTGTGCTTTAGTCATACTCACCTCCCCACCTCGAGATGCGACCTTCGAACGCGTTTACCATGCATCTGGTCAATGCCTCAGTCAGACATGTTGTCAGGATCCCATTGGGTCAAATGACCAAAGCGAGTGAAATTCGCCTTCACGAATCGTGGCCAGATGGTTCGGCGACCTTCACGCCAATGCTCGACCCCGCATGGCACTGCTGGCTCGTCCGGAGCCGAGCGACGGGAGCGGTGGGATCCTCTTCTGTCCTCGATGCCCACCCGAACAGTCACCTCCAGAACTACGCCTATCTTAGAGTCTCGAATCAAGAGAACCAAAATCCAATTTTTGTAATTTTGTGTAGAAGACTCGATTTTAGAACTATTCACTCATATTTAGAGGACTGATGTAACTAAAATGAAGCTAAAACTTTTGCCTATCCTAATTGATTGAATGTGAAAATTCACATGTCGAATTATTCAACGCCTTAGATGCTGCGACCCCGAAAAACAGTCCGTTAGGATCTGGTTAGAATTTAAGCCTGATCTGCTGCCGCTCTTTCGCAGCACAGCTGAAAGCACAAAATTAGCATTAACCGTATCAATCGGATTCACTTAAGCCGAGACCCATGCTTAATCTGCTTACCTGGCTGCGCACGCCGCCTACTTTTATAGCATGCGTCCAAAATTTTGGTCAAAACCTTGGCAGAAGTTGCAAGCACTGGTAACACTGATTTGAGTTTTGTCAAGAGAACCCATGACAATTTGACGAGTTTTGTCCATAACTGATGTGCTAGTCAAATTTTCAACCGATTTTCAAAAAAATTTCATTTGTTAAAGAAGATATGTATGCAGGATTACGGTCTGGCACTTTCAGTGCCAGAGAAATGGGCGCATGATTTTGACATCAGCACTTCTCCTTCCTTCACTTCTCATAAACTTTGAAGAGTGCTTTTTTTCTCTTTTTTTTCATAATATGGCGCTAATGTGTGCTGTCTAACTCAGTATATTTATTAGTGACATCAGAAATTACAGCTGGCCAAAAGTGAAATTCGGAATAACCGCAAAGTGCTCTTGCGAGCTCAATTTTTTGTGCAGCATCCTGTAGTCGACCCCTAGATTTCACGTAAAATGAATCACTCCTGTTTAGTCTGAAAAATGAATAAATTTTCTAACTTAAACCATTACTGGATCGAGTAAATTTAGGGATTAGTGTGGACACAGGTTTACTTGTAACATCTTACTACCTCGAGATGAAGTTCAGACTGATCGTCCACGTCCATTTCATGTTGAAATGTTCGTTTGTGGACGTTTTCCGTGTTGTCGAGTTTCTTAATTTGGTCGTCTTAGTCGACTAAAAGCATCGTTAACGTGGTGCAGGTGTAGCTGATATTAGCGGGCATTAGCACAGGTACTAGGGGTTGGGGGTGAAGACTGGCAGTGAACTGATTGTGAGTCGTTGTGTTTGCCTGGGAACCAATACTAGACCCCAGATGTTTGTACAGGTTGCGGATCTGACTGAAGCCGCTCCTGGGTTACGAGAGCACTCCCCAGCAGACAAAGTTTCCGCGATCACCCAGGCCTTCAGCATGAGTCTTGATCCCCAGCCGCTTCTAACTCAAATTAAACTACTATTTAATGCCAGAAATTCAAGTCCAACCAACTGTCTGAAGCATCAGGTTTAGTACATTGGTTTCGGCTATTTTACCATTCACTCAAACTGGCAAGGCTTGTTGGTCTCATTTTTGGAATAATTGGTTTCTCAGTAGTATCTGATAATTCTACAATTTCCTTTTTAAACAATAGAGTGGAAATAGGAAATACAGACGATTTCTTTAAGTCATTAAGAAAAGTCCCGATATTTCCCTAAGACATGAACTCCGTTTATGACATCGGTGCAGTGGAGGTAATGCTATGCAAGATTGCACACACATACGCATTGGACGACGTCACATTGAAGGCAAATAAATGCGGGAACGTGGTGTATGACTGAGGCCAGGCGCCACCAATGTTTTGATACTTGATGAGCAAAAAACCTATCCGCAATACCTAGCCTCGACTGCATCCGTCGGCACAAGAAACTTTTCTACTGTCCTTAAATGTGTCTCAAAATAGAGACTTTAACCAAGTGTCATTTATTTGCTGATTCCATCATGAGAGCAGATCTAGTACAATTACTTATTGTTAAATGTTTAGAAAACGTTTGGCTGCCAAAATGGTAGTAGGGGAAAACTCTGCAGTTAAAAGCGTCCACTTTAAGTGTCATCCACGTCTAGTGAGTCTGAGCATTTTGGAGTCCAAGTTTCATTTTACACAAAACGTTTTTCGTGAAATGAACGGAATAGTCCGACGCAAGGGAAAAACATGAGACCATGTACAACTGCCGTCGCTTGTTCATCAAATGTAAATTACGACAGACAATATACACTATTTCTTCCTTGGTAAGTCAGTTTGTGAAATACAAATGGATTGTTTTGGCTCCGGGGAAATTGTCAACGAGGTGTCGGAACCAGAAAGCGATCTGGTGAATATGTCCACCAGCATCTTCAATTTACACCCTCCCATCATTTCTTTTCATTGCCCAGGTAGGTGCTGCCTAAGTAACATTGCGTGCTCCCCCTCCTTGCTAGTCACCTGTGATCAGTTTTCGCACTTAGCTTCGGTTGTGGGCGTTGTAACTTCAGCAGTCGCTCATCCGTACGATGTTCTCAGGGGCAGCCAGGACATCGGTCGGCAAGTGCGCAATTTGCCATTCAAGTTCGTAGTTTCGCCACAAAAAATGTTACGAGTGCTTTCCAATTGAAGTAACGAACTGGATTCAGCGACTAACATGGAGGATGATTCTCGTGTTAAGATACTATCCGTATATTTGGTTGAAAGCACCACGCTTAATTGTTTGGAAAGTAGTACCAGGAGTAAAAATAATACAGTCATTGTTTAACTCAAACCGAAATGTTAGGCCACAGTGCTTTACAATGTTGCCTATTTTGGCAAGAAGGGTGCCGATCATTCGAGAAGTGCCTGGCCGGACCTGATGTTATAGAGTAGATGTATCAAAAGAAATGCACGAATCCCTGTTGAGTGTTTACGCGTAGCCTATTGCACAGGCTGCCCACCGTCACAAGGTTTTGCGTCACCAGCACCTAAGTAATGAGTAGTCAGGCTCTCCGTAATTTTACTTATTTTCTAACAACTTTTTCCCAGTCTCGCGTTTTCAGATAATCAACGGCTGCACTTTGGCCCCTTTAAAATTTCTGGCTCGATACGAGATACTTGTGGTTCACTAGAGCTGGCCCAGTCGTGCGAGTTGTGGTAAGGCCAGTAGAATGAAGACGGACTTTTCGTGAATTGGCCAAGACGATATGAGTGTCGACGGCGACAACCCTGTAGCAGCACAATTGGTCACATCAAAACATCCCTGTGTGAGGTCGCCGCTATTCTGCGTCGTGGACGAGAAAGCTGAGCACCCACCCTAATCCGCAGAAACCATTCCCTAAACTTTCTCGCGTTCTTAAACTAGTTTAGTTTCATTTGTTGATGCTTTGCTAAACTGAAATTAACGTGAAGCACAACACGCGGGCATTTATCAATTCACTGATCTATATTGCTGTGGTTATTTTTAATATAACTCTGCAATTATGTTTTGAACACGATGTTTTTAATACCTAAGAGTGAAATACGGCTTTGAGAGTTAAGAGTGAGCAAATAATGCGGTGGCGACGACCTCCACCCGAAACTTCGAGGTCACTGCTTCATTGGTTCAACTCTGCTGGACATGAAGGCTAGTAAGCAGACGAGAAAGAAAGAACAAGCAGATTTACGCAACACCCTAAGCATGTACGGGTTGTTAGGCGATAAAGAAAACACTCATACCAGACTTGAGCGGGAGAGTACGGTAACAAGAGGCGCCAAAAATTGCAAAACAAAGACTGCCACAATTGTTAAAGTACAAGAAGACAATTATCAGGACGAATACGACTGCGAAACATTACAGAAGGTCATCTAGCCTTATCAATAAAAAGTAACCTTAGTTTTAAATCCATGGGCAAAATCACGTCGGAATAAAATAAAATTTCGAATAAAATATAACTTTAAGGATGGGCAGGGGAGAAAGTGAGAGCAGTTCGCTACAACTCCCACCTGTTGCAAGCCCACTTGGGGAGACCTCTAGTTCATGAACGAAAGCTCATTGCTGACTTCGCCAGATGAAGCTATTAATCAGTTGATTTCACAGATTGACAATTAGCAACCTCACACACAGTGCCCTTCACCACTACAGCCATCGCATGTTTACGATTTCTTAAAAAAAGCATTGAAATTGTTCGGTACCATAATTTACTAGTTTTTCTAGTGAAATATTTACACTTAGGATCTATTAAAGCTAAAGGAACTAGCAGAGGTCAGCAATGAATAAAATTTGTCAAATCTGCGAGGCAGAAGAGGTGCTGCTTTTCACTGAAAATCGGGACATCAATGCTTTCGAAAAACCAGTACCATATAACAACCGTCTAAAACGTAGTATAACGCACTTGCATTATGTAATTTAAAAACCAACAAATAACAACGGCCAAACAAAGCCCAGCTTAATTTTTTTGAAACACACTTCTGAGGAATATTACATCAGTGTGAGAACGCCAAAAATTCAGAAGCGAACAATATCTTTGCAATGTAAGATGGGTCGAGGGTGAGGCAGACGACAACTCACAACGTCACACCAAAAAAATTTAAAAATTGGAAAGAAGCCCGCATTCCTATGACTAGTGACAAAATTATTGTTAATTTCGTGGTGAAAACAAAAATATAGATATATAGAAGGAATGAGGACAACAAACTTGGCGCATCGATTATAGATATGTACACAAGTACGAACAGGGATCAAGTATCATGAAATCATTGCTGACGGTGGAGGAGGAGGAGGAGGTGGAGGAAGGGGACCACTGGTGAGAAGGCGAGAAGGGGTTGATTTCCGAACAGAGCAAACAGTTTCGGGGCAGCATGATTTGGCGTGAAGCGCTGGTGTAAGAGCAGTAGCATTGGCTGCCTGGTTCTTTGCTTGTAATGCGACAGCAGCTGATGCATTGTGAACAGCTAAAGCCTCAGATAGCTCGATTAACTTCAAGTGGGCCGGAAGTGGAGCTCGAGGTGCAGACAAATCATTTAAGTCAGGTCGATTCGAAGGTGACGAGGTCTGCGACAAAATTTTAGGCAGGAAAATTACCAAATTAAAATAAATTCAGTTAACATGAAAACCTGATACTAATAAAGGTAATTTTGCAAAATGAATTCAAGTCAATAATTATAGAAGCCGACATGGTATACCAGAAGCAATTATCCCGTCAGGACCATGTACAACTAACTACTTACAGCAATCTCATTACCACCTGAGACGCCCATGTGGGCAAGATGCCGAAAATCCATTGGAGGACCGATTGCGCTCCTGTCGATTCTTTTTTCCTATACGAAAATGTTATAACTCAGTTAACGTACGGATGGATCCTCATTAGATACACAGCAGGAAAACAGCGTACCACTTTGAGTGCCTGTGCATAGTTTTGAACGCAACATGACTTCAGTAACTGTTGCACATACCACGAAAGTAGTGTCAGCACTTTAGGACAGAAAAGAATGTATTTGAGGCGGGTTTCAATCAAATCATATAAACAAAAAATCATTCTTCTCATAAGATCTATTGCATATTTGCCATTTTAGCGGTTGTGCATTTCAATAGTGCAATCATACATACAGTACGCAGTTTATTACTTATTTCAGTTCCTTTTCGCACAAATTAAACATTTGCAATAGATTTACCTGAAGAATTTTGAAATGAAGCTTTTAATATTACCCTTATAGAATATGAACGCTTAACAGGAATTGACAGTAATTATGTCGAGAAACTGGTTGGAAAATTAAAAAGGTTAAGCAATAATTTTAGAATGCTCATTGTAAAAACGGAGATTATAAATTACAATATTATTTATTATTATTGTATGCTGCAACCTGCCTCTCTGGTTATTAAAGCGCATCCACGATTTGTCTAACATTAAAATTAGGTGTACAAGTAAGTCATAAAAGTTGGTTCGGTCTATTAAATAAGAACTCGAGCTTTATCGCCGCATCAGTGATTAATTTTGTTTGGCTAAGTACTAGCTGCAGCTATTGATGAAACAGGATATCGTCCGAAAATTCTTTGTGACATTAAGCATGCATAGATATATGAATGATACAATTTAGTATCGGAAACAGGTGTTAGACTGATCAAAAACCATGCCCCGCATTTAAAAACCGCAGCTTCATTTATCAGGGACATATGAAGAAAATTTGCTTCAAATGAATCTCAAGTAAAACTGCCGTTATTCTTAATCGAACCTGAAATTTGCAAATCGAAATCTGAATCGTAGCCAAAATTTGAGATTCGACACTTCCACTTCTGTTACTACAATAAATGTTCACTTAGATGCGAAACTGTGAATCCCCTTAATTTCAAGTCACTTCTAGAGTCGAAGAATGTCCACGACTATCCATGTTATTATGATTCCCTATAGCTGCCAATTCAAAATTTTCTTACTGGACGAGGGATGTGCCTGTTATTCACATATATGGTGTCTGCATATACAATTGCTGAATTTCTTTAATTACCTATTATTCATCAAAACCTGGGTGCGTGGACCTTAAATTGTTAAAAGCGCTTATTTTTAGATTCTTGCGGTCGTAGATTAAGGTCTGCTTTCACACTTTGGCATTCTGCAACCGCCTACACTTGTCATCAACGGGAACAATATCATGATTTGGTGTGTCAAATTAGGCCAAAGTGTATTAAAGTGCTGTTTGATTATACTTTTTTTTTAAATAAATTAAGGATGTGCATTGCCAGTGGTCCAGTTTAAAAAAAGGCATCTGATTACACATTCATTGCATGTATTTGGAAGAAATTAGGATTTTTGTAGTTGAGAGAATTGGAATGTGTTGTCGGAATCGAAGTTACGGGATTTCAGCTGCAACTTTACTGAAATATCTTTGCAAGTATAACTTACATGGCTATGCGACCATGAAATATTTTCGACAATAAAGGCATTTTAAGCACTAGAAATGGGGGCATCGGTAAAGAGAATTGAGTTTTTTTTACAGCGCAGTCATCTCGGTACCTGAACATTGGCAACTCACTCTGTGAGTTTTATGTTACGTTTCTGAAAAAAGGCACTTTCAGGAACCACTTTACAAATGAATTGTCTGACTCAAACCACACTTTTTCAGACTGGGGGATTATAAGACACTTTACAGAGTGCAAACAATAAATTTCTAAGAAATTTGGAGCTCAGTGGCTGGGATATACACATAAAAAATAGTAAAGTGTATTTTTAACCAAAGCAACAACGAATGCACTAATAAACGTCTTGCCAACGCTTTTCATATCGCTATATTATGAACACAGCTTGTTGCGTGATGCTGATCAAGAAAAGCAAATGGAACAACGTATACATCTTAAACATCCTGTCAAGTCTCATAAGGAGCTCTATTACCTCTGCGAAAGGCCGAGCATTATGTCAGAATAGACAGCCTATAAACATCTCGATTAGTATTATCTTGCTGATTAAGTGACCTTTACACAAAAAGAACTGTTATGTGACAATCCAACGGCATGGCCATTGAGGTGAACTAGAAATAAGAAATACGCAAATTGGTAATTATTCTCACATTACCGAGTACAATAAATGCAGTTTCCCTTGCAGTTGCGTAGCTTTAACCGCTCTTCTATGCTGCAGTTATGTCAATTATGGTTGAATATTTTTAATAGAAGCTTTATCAAAACTCTTTCAAACCTCATAAACAAAAGTAACAACTCATTAATCCGAAATAACGATGACAACCTCCTCTAATTTGACACTTGCATGACGGTTTAATATTTTGGAATTTTACCAATCAAACCGTCTAGGATTTCATAGGAGTGTAAAGTAACGTGCATTTTTGGCTTAGCTATGTCAAGACTTAGGCAATGTTGGTCGTTATCGGGCCGACCTAATTAACGCCTCATAAATGCCTCATAAAAAATATTAGATGCCTTATCTTTATGCTCAAACTTTTACGCAGTATTTTTTGTCTGATTTAAGGTCCAAGTTTTTGTTCAGATTCCATCTTTTCAATTTCACGTACACGTCACTGTACTGTCAAATGTCTAGTCTTAAAATTCAATGTAAATTGTTCATATTTGGGCATTTCACGGCTTTGAAATTTCGACAAAATTTGTAACTTTCCAGACCGGTAAAGTAATATATACGAATAACGTCTACCTCTAAAAAATTGTTACACAAAGATTTTGAATAACAACGTAACGGAACATTTGACAATTAACGCAGGATATACAAAAATGAGCATTATACAGGAACGCATTTTAAAATTGCTGAACTAAACGTGATCTCAAAGGATCTGTGTAGTCTAGCTAATTCAGTAAGCACGTTGTGGGCCGAGCTCAGGACGAATTATAAGTTGAGGAAGCGATAGATCAAGAATGAAAGCATAGATGTTACACTGTGTTCAAGATACGAAATAAGAACGCAGTGCAGATATACGGAAGGACACGTTAGTTATTATAGTTGATTCGATATTATAATTTATTCACATGCTAAGAGACGCAACATTGCAAAATTCCTGTTTAAAATGTGCTGCAAACCTATGTCATTGACCATAGAATGTATAGTGCAATGTTTAGCAGCTGTAATACGGAAAAGTTGTTTGACAATATTTGACGTCCGTAGGGTTAAAAGGCTTGTCAAGGTCCTACGTGAAAATTTTATTGCAGAATGCAGAGGTTTTTTGGGACCACAGTTAAAAAATTAGAGCAATAAAATGAGATATTTTGTTAAAAAAGGCGCTTGTGGGTTTCTCATTGTAGTAGGCAAAAAGCGTAAAAATTATCCCCTAAACTTGAAAACACTGTCTCTTTTTAAATAACGCAAAGACACTTTACGTAATTTCGGCCTTAGTTGACCTAAACACTTGAGTTTCGTTTTACAGCGGATGTAAATAAATGCATGTGCACAAAATCGAGGCAGTATGCTTTCGCATTATTTTTTAAATGCATACAGAGATTATGTAGAAGTAATGTAAAATTATTAAAAAAACTTTTTTGGAGCAATGACGTAGGTACATTCTATCCAATAAGCAAAAATCAAAATTACCCTTCAATGCTACTTGTTCTTTATAAATATTTTGACAAACATTCCTTAAACCAGTAATTCAAAAAAATCCTTTTTTTGTGTTTAGAAAGAAAGTATTAAAATACCCTAATCCATGAAGACAAATATGATGGCGAAATCACTAGCTGGTAATAATATCAAGTCATTAGACTTTATTATGTTGTAATGGAAGGTTACTTGTTTTAATACAAGCCAGGGGATAAATTTCATTCAATTTTTTCGTGATTTCCCCAAATAAAAATTTTGACTTCAGTGAGAATGTGTCATATTTCAGCATATTTGGTTAATACGAAGTATGCAATCTCTTGGTGCGTCCTGTGAGTTTGGTACAATTTGCCATAACTTGGCGAATTGTGTGTTAGGTAGGTGCTTGTCAGAAAATTGCAAAAAAGTTAAAAATTGTATTATCGAAAACAAGGATTAAATAGTGATTTCAGTCTCTTTACACATTAAATGTAGTTAGTAAAATAATTTGAATAAGACAAATTTCATGCACATATGACTAGTAACTGATTATTAGGATCCATTAACTGCGCCACGACTAAATTATCAAGGTCACTGATTTTGCATTGTTTATATCAGGTTCTATCGCCGCGTCATTTTAAATAAATGTAATACTGCTGCTTCTTGCTGATTTTGCCAAATTTATCGTTTTTATTTTTTTGTTTTTCTGTGTTTTATGACTATTTTTTACACTTTCGAAAAGGGAGCCATGCAATTACTCTGTAATATTTTTTGGACTGGTCAGCATTTGCATATCACTGGTTTGCATTCGTTCGAATTTTTTGGTATAAACTTAATTAACTACTTCTTATGGCTTACATGATTGTCGACAACACTTTATCGTTGTTTTTTAATGATGTAATAGTGAACATTTACGCTATTTGCTGTCATTTAAGTTGTTCAATTTTATATTTGTTATGCTTTGATTTCCGTTCATTTTGATTGTCGTTTTTATTATATAGTTGGGTTCGCTGATGGTATTACTTGATACAAAACTTTTTAAGTATGCTATAATATATTTAATTTACTGCCTTTGTTTGCGTAATTTTCCAATATCGTGTCAGGTTTGCTTGCTAAATTTTGTGAACCGATGAAAAATTTGAAGCCATCCGTAATGTGATCCTACTTGTTTTGTTGGTAAATCACTGTTGTCTTACAGTTAGGCAGACTTCTAAGTCACTTTTAGACTTTGAATATTTTATTGTTCACTCCTCAATGATTTCTGAGTGTCACGAAATTATCACCTTGTAAATGATAGCTTTTTCTTGCAAATCAAAGTCAATTGTGTTTGGCCTATTACATCCGTGAGTCTGGCGAATAGATGTGACTATGTTTATTTCATTGGTTTATTAATGCACGAAATATTTTGGCTTAGGTCCTAATGGACGGGGTGTTGGAGCTTTCCTTTGAAGGTAGTTCTTCAGACGATGATGGTGACGACTCTCTTACAGAACAGGAAAACTATTTCCCTGCGGCAAATGACGTTTTTGAGTCAGGGCAGATTTTTTTGCCTCATGAGCCCATTAAAATTGAAATTACACATGTTTATTGGACAAGTCGTTTTAATTACATTCGTGATCGAGTTAAAAGCCCAAGTTTTTCGCAACAAACGTACACGGCTTCCGCCGCCAATGACGGGGAATCAAACGATGAAGTAACAGCAGCATCAACTTCCCACAAGGTTCCCAGTCGCTATGAAATAAGCATCCAGCATGGCCCCTTTAAATGGAGAATCACTCGGACATACAACGATGTAGTGGCTTTGCATCGAGAAATAACTCTTGATCAAGTTAAACGGCGTGTTATAAGAGTCACGTAAGCCCTCTTATTAGTTTTTTATGCAAATATTGGCAGCTGAAACCTAAAAATACACATTTGCGTCTCCAATTTTAAAAATGGAAGTAAATAAGACTGCATTAAGGGCTCCCAGGCCTTCACTTCTTCACATTCATTGTCATTAACTATGTGTTTCCATTGGTTATTATAGATTCTAAACCTATTGCTATTATTATTGCTATAAATTTGATTAATTTTCATGCTTCAATGTTAGTCTATCAGTTAGCATGACCCCAAAAGAGTACAAGACAAGCTTGGCCTGCATACTGGTTTGAACACTTCCAAATTTAACTCATTAGCATTGAGTGACAACCCTTATAGTCCAACAAGACAGATTAGGCTACACATCTGTGGATCGGGTAATTAATATGGTAATTTGTCTAAGGCATTTTCTCTGTACTGGTAGAATGCTACTGCCTTTTTCAGTCAGACAGTTAAATCGGGCTTTCAGCAAACTACGCCCACAGAACGGCTTAGCAAAAGGCGTCTATCCGTCTTTCCAAAGCGTCCGACTCTTGTGGTCAACGAAGAATATATGAGTGAGCGAACACGCGTCCTTCAGGAATATCTTCAATCCATTGTAAATGTTAAGCAGCTTCGATACCTTGAAGGCGTTGTAAGTTATAAAATTGACACCTATTTAAATTTTAAATTTTGATCATACGGACTTTGTAAGGATGCTGTAAGGGTCCTGGTTGTTTTTTATTATGCTTGGAGTGACATAACTAATGTTGGATGGAAAGGTCTTGTTCGATAAAATGTCCATTTTGAGGATCATTTTTATCGTTTGCAGGTAAATAGGAAACAAATTGCTTTTAATATATGCAATAATTTTGGATAACTAGACATTTCAATTGCTAAATTTGATTACTAATACTGAAATTAACTAAAAATGATGAGTAAAGGAATTCATGCCTTCTTTGATTGAAGTTACATCAATACCAACAAGACCATTATCGTACTCAACTACTTGGGGAATCGTTATTGGCCAGTCTAGAAGACTTTGGTAAGCCAACCATAGAAACGAGTCTCAATGTAGAAAAAGGTAATCAAAAATACCGAGGTGGGAATAAAGATTTTAACAGACAGTTTCCATTTTCATTTCCAGTAACTTTTTGCTTTTTAATAACGGTGAGAACTGTGGATCTTTGAATGATTAAACTGGGGTACCGCTTCTTTCCAAAATGTAAAAAGACAAGTTCATTGTCATACGATAAAAACTTGCAGATTGTTTTAGTGCTATTGCTTTGAACTTCAATTTGTCATTTGTATTGTCGATGCATCTGGGTGTGAAATGCCCGAAAATGTAATTTGATTCACATTTAATGCTATCAAAGCAGTTGAATAAGATAGGATCACACTATTTGATGCTACTTTATGAACATAATTGGCAGTAATTCTTGTTATTTTGTTGGATATATGTAATGCAACTATTTTAGATGCGATTTTTCGAGATTTCGCCAATTACCTTCCGCGTGCGACTTGGCACATCAAAGTACAAGGAAGGAACCATCCTCAAGATCCCCAAGTCCAGACGTTTCGCATTTTTACTGTTCCCCTGCTGTGTGAGCGAATGCGCTTGGCAGAGCAGGTGCGTGATTATTTTTTCAAAAAAAAACTATTAGGGCTCATGAACACATTGCCTCTAAAACCATTAGAACTCCAATTACTCTTTCGGAGTCATCGAAAAAAAGTATTTTTTTTTTCGATCTCGAATCGATTTGATTTTGCCCTAAATCAAGTCGATTGGAGATACTTTGCATAAAACTTTTCATCAGGTGTTAAACATTTCTTGTCCTAATCACTAGACATTAACTTCAATTATTGCGGTCTACTTTAACAAAGCATGCAAAGAGTGGAGGTAAATATTTTACAAGTCCTAATTTAGTCGCATTCTTCAACTAGTATCTGTTTAAATCGTGGTGAGCAGGAAAAGCATCGTCACTTGGCACTCAGTATTCTCGATTTTTAGGCTGCGCCTGTAGTTAAATAACAGCTTAAAAATTCGTTGAATGTTAGTAATGTGACTACTCGTAGCCAATCGGCCTCACGGTTTGTGTATTCACCGCTCGACGTCGAACGTGTGTGCATGTGAATGCCAAGGTCATCTCTGTGCCACCTACTCACGTTTAATGCGTCTAATCCCATGTCTCTATGTAATGCGATTGTTTGAGTATTCATTGTTGAGATCAAAGTGAGACCAACTCTTTAAATCTAACAGTTGCCTTCGCAACTTCGTATGAGGTGTTTGCATTTAACTCGGCTTGTCAACTTTCGTTGAGAGACGGTTAATATACATGTAAAGCTGAGTCTTAAAGACTGGTAGGAAATAGTGGACTTGAAGAAGGCGATCTTTACATTTACGCGCACCTCGGGATCAGCTGCCTTAAGTAAATAAGCTAAGCACATCGTATGCTGCATCTTCAGGTGGTATGTTTCTCCGCATCCAGGTACTGAAAGTCGCAAACTGATGGTCTGCACTGTGACTTAAAAACAGCTGTTGAATATCGGTTTATACGATTCTGCTGTGCATTCTGCTCCGTAAATATGCTGCTAAATCTGTCAAACCTCTTGCTGTAGCATTCCTTCGTTCTTTTTTTGTAATAACAGAGAGAACATTGCTTCAATTTAGAGCTTTTTTAATTATGAAGTTGACCACATGTTGAGTAAAACTTTCGTTTTTTGAAGCCCTGATCCCAATATGGTGGGTCTTTTAAAAATAATCGATTTTGTTTGAACGTGGCTAGAATGCAACCTGTCCACTTGAAAGTGATTAGCTTTTGCACGTGGCTTTAGTTATTTAGCAGTCGGTAAGTCTTAAAGCGAAAACGAAATATGACAAATTGAATAAGCCAATAGGCAGTGGTTTCTAGGATTCAGAAAATTGCGATCACAATGAATCAAATCAGCTTTCATGCCTTTACTTCCTGGCATCGCCCTTCTGCTCTCCAGCGTCTGAGTCAGAGGGGAGCGAACTTTCGCGGCCCATCCAGGGGCATTCTGATCCTGAAATGCACACACCCGATCAGAAGCCAATCAGATGACTTTGGTTACCTCGCGTACAAGGTTATCCTTTTAGGTCCCAAATCTAACCAGAGTAATCACCACATTAGCACGGCTTGGAAAACAATGTAGCCCACCTGTAAATTGTAAAAGCTTAGATGTTGGCCTGTTCGCAAGTTACGTGGAACAGGGCAAGTATTGTACGGAGCAGCCAAGTGCCAGCTAAAGGTAATCGAGTGTTTGTCAAAATATCAAGTTGTTTTAATTACCAGACCATCCCCTCCAGTCGCACAAAGTCTGCTTCAAGATAAAGAATAGGCTTATTAACAGTTTAATTTCCTACCTAAATTCCACTCACAACTGTACGAACAAAACTTAAGTCGTACTAAATTGGTACCACTAAAGTGTTGACTTTTGAACACGCAAAGATTCACGTTAATTCTAACTGGTTCAGTAGTAGCCTTCGAACTGTGCGAATTTTCATTTAATTTTTTTATATAAAAGTTCAAGACCAAACTTACCGTGTCAGGATTGTCGTGGTAAACTAACTAAAAAGCGCTTGCGTATATAAAGAATCATGTTAGGACCTCGAAGGGTAGCACCTCTGGTTAACAGACTGCCTCTAATGCCTTTGTGGAGGGACCAGCATCCTTATTTTAAATTGGTGTGGTAGTTAGTACAGTGAGGTTAAAAGATTATTTACAGATCGACACATGCACTATTTCATAACTGATTAAATAAACTTGAGCATCGAACTGCCTATAAAGTCCATGATTTTTCGTGCAAATATTTCTGCTTCCTTTGATAATTTTTTTAAAAAATGTTTTCAGTTGGCCGTCAAAACTGGCTAAGACTGCTTCTCAAAAGCAGTGACTTTATTGAAGGTGGGCCTAATTATTGTGCAAAACACTTTCGGGTTTAGTATCCAACGCGATTAGACAAGTTGGGTGTGTTTGAGTTGAGTAGCTGTTTCCCCTGACTGAACGTCATGACTAATTCATTCTCTCTGAGTCCAAAAGGCAAGCTTTTTCATTAGTAATCCAAATTACTAATTTTGGTAGTTTTCATTCAACTGAGCCTTGTTCGGAAAAGGCCCAGACAAATCGACAGATAAGCACGATTCGTGAGTTGTTAACAGTACCAACTTGTTTGGTGGCACGTTCTCTGCACTTGCTTGTTCACCCTCGCCACTGCTCGTGGCTCGTGGCTTTCGTTCACCGCCGAAGTACGAGTTCACCCATTCGAATTCACCTCTTCACCACACACACACACACACACAAACAGGAAAATTACTGGAGGTCATGTAAACCTGTGCATTCTCTCCGAAACTCTGGCCTTCGTCTGTTTACTACCGGGTTTTGTGGGCAATCATTTCCGAATAAATTAGTACCTCTTGCCTAAATGGCTAGTTTTTGCGTGTTTGATTTAATTTAGTCACGTATTTTAGCGATATTGGCAGTATCCGTATTGGTTCGGTGTACTTTTGTAAATTCAGCAACTGATCACACAATTACGTGTGAGTTGTTATAACCCACCATTACAGCTTATTTTTCGCCAATCATTTACTTGAAACTGGCCAACCCCATTTACCATAATTGTGCCAATAAAATGCATCCCACTTTGTAAAAAGGGATTGTTCGGGGCCTTACTAATTTGCAGATTTGTACTACAATTAGAGTCCGCTCAACCTCCGTATACTTAAAACGAAGCTCTTTAATCGTTGGGGATTTTGTCTGAAGTAAACTGAGTACACGTTTATCGTCAAAATGTCATGACCATTAAAGTCCAACAATCTTTCCAAAATTGCTTATTTGTTGTCTTTAGGGTGACACGTTTCTTTCTCCTGACTGAAATGCAATACTTTCGGGTCGTCAACCCTTTTACTTGTTATGTCGCCTATATTTCACAATGAATGAGTCGCGGATCCTTAGCAAAACGCAGTACCAAATTTGACTAAAGATGATAATGATGCATCAACCAAGGCTATTGTCACGGACACAAGTACGTTAAAACTAATGTTTATACGGAACTGTATTTGACGCATAAAAAACCATTATAGCCATAGTTTGGACTTGAAGGTCAAATAAAGTTTTCATTTCCTTTGGGAGCTTCACAACTCGCGCTTTTTCACCCGACGCCTTCATTCACCGCACTCAACTGTTTTCAGAATAACTGCTTAGTGCCTTATCTTGAATTCATCGATGTCGCCAAAATAGGCATATAGCCATTAATTTATGTGCCCTTCACCAATGGTCTTGGACAAGAGGAAATCGTAAACCGCATGCAAAAATTGGTTTCCCATCTCATCTGCTAATTAATATCAATTGGTATTTTTTTGCAGTTGCGTTTTACCTCCTTTATATGCAGTGCGCGAAATTGGATTCCGCGTGAAGTGTTAGCACATTTTCTCCGATTAGCGTTAAAGTTTAATCCCATTTCAACGTATTGGTTGATTTGTCGGAAAAACAAGGCAGAATTTCGCGATATTTGTATGAAACTGCCTATGATTGTACTTTGTAGTCTCGGGTTTTTGCGGATCAGTAGTATTTTTCCCCTTACCTTACCAAGCGAACTATCTCTTTCTTCCCTTTCTGGGCACACGAAAGTCAGGTATTCCTTGCCAACAATCGATTAGCCTGCCTTTTGGTCAGAGCAACTTGAACAAAACTACAGTCAAACCCACATACCTGCACTACTAGCCATGTACGTCACGTATGCAAACAATTTTCTCAACTCCGTGAGTACACACTCTGTGCTGTAACATTCTCTTCGGCCACCTTATTTCGTGACCTTAGGTATTACACATTGTTCATAGCTTCCGCATATCGTGTCTGCACTGCGGTCTTATCCAGTGGCACTTTGGTTTTGGGGTATGATCAATCAACCTTACAAGGTATATTTTAATATCAATGCGTGGCCTTGTAAAGCCCAGCGTATCGGTGATGTGGTGCTGGCGCCTGGTGTATACGTGTGGTGTTGCTGTCCATGACATTTTGTCTTTACGAGGGCACATCTCTGCATACCATAATGAGTCCTCTCAAAGTGCATAGCTCATCCTAATCCAGTTGTACATTTTGCAAACTTAGTCCCAGAGACGCAATCTTGGTCTCTTTGGTGTTGAAAGAGACTTGCTAAGTCACAGTTCACCTTCGCATTACTAGCGTTTGCGAATGGTCAGTTTGAGAGTCCAGCACAACTTGGGTATAAGTCGTTGCGGATGACTCCTCCACAAAATCGTTTTTTTGATGAAAATAAGGGCCTCGTCAAGATCACTACAGTATGGTAGATATTTAACTATTTATGTAAAGTTAGTTTGCGGTAGCTTTGATCTTATTTGCACGTTTTTACCTCAGGGTATGAAATCAGCAATTGATGATGGTGAGTGAGGACAAGTGAGCTTACAGACTTAGCGTGAGGTAACTCGCATGATAGGTCAACGATCAGGATTGCTTGTTTAGGTAAAATACTCTCGTAATGACAACTTTTGAAATCGACACACCTCCATATTTGTACGCCACTTCTGTGAGGGCTGCACGCTGACCTAAAATGTATCAGCGCAACGCGCACTTCACTGTGCGCGTTGCGCTGTGCGTTCGTTTCCGGTTCATAATTGATCGCTCTCCAAGTCGTCTCAACACCGGTTGTTTTTGTGAGTGGCTGCGCATCGCGTTCGGCAAAGCCGATGGAGCCTTAGGGCAGTACCCGCTTCATGGCTGCGCTGTCCCAAGAAGCAGTTTCAAAAGAGGATGACTTGTGCCTTGAGCACACATTTTCGGGTAAGCTTTGGAATCGATCCTAAGCTGTGACCTACAAGTGCTGTGTTTTTGCGTAAGAGTGCACACATTGTGCATTGGCCCTGGACTATATGAAGTGAATTGCTTGTTTAATGTTTTTTCCAACATTTTTCTTAAAGGTACAGTTCAATTTGGGTAGAATATGACAAGGCACAATGATAAGTTATGGCGTTTAGTCAGATTTCGTTGCTTGGCGCTAAAGCATCAAATGATTTGGGGACCCAGTAGAAACTAAAGATAGTTAATTCGACCAGCCTGGAGACGCAAGAATAAACCAACGGTATTTAGAACGTTTTCAAGAGGAAATAGTGAACCATAAAACAATAGATTGATCAGCTTCTTTATCCTGAACAAATTGAAAAAGGAGAGGACCCATCGATGCATCGAACACTAAGGTCATGTTTTGCGTCACACAACGACAATTTTCACATGGAGATGATAATTTTTGTCCGTCTTGCTCTGCCTGAAAGGGATTAACGAACTCACATTGATTAATGACTCAGAATTTTAACGAACTTTGACAGAGCAGTTGCAGTGACTGCGCCACCCATAGACGTAAAATCATGGTACAGCATGTCAAGCGGAGAGTGCATCTCCACTAACTGTACACCCCAATAGCATACCGCTTGGAACTCTTGTAGGACGCTGGTTTCCCACATCACATAGTATGACCATATAAGCGATGATTCGGTCTTATATTTGTGCGTTCTAATTTTTGGCGCTCTATGACGTTATTCGAAATTCACCACGGGTCACCTACTTCGTACTGGGCCTTTGTCGTTTAAAGTCAGCCTTGCAAAGTTGTGGCACGCTTTAGGTATGAACGGTTCAGATTTCTCTTGCTTTCACCTTACAACACGATTCATTATAAGTGCTTGTTAATATTTAATTTCTAATATGCAGAACAGGGAATGCAAAATCGGTTTTCTATCCTTCAAATTCAGTCTGAAACATTCTGAAAGTTTCGCGTTAACAAGGGTGAATCACAAATAATAAGTTCTTTGGGGTGTTCCCACAATACCTACTTCGTTTGCGTTAATGCTTTCCTAATAACAAACATCTGACCAAAATCAGTTGATTATATTCCCATGCTGTAGATGGCTAGTCCTGAAGGACTCGTACATGGTAATGCTGAAGCCAAGCAAATTGGAGCAACAAAAAGCGCTGCCTTCGTCTCGGCAAAGAGCCGGCAGTGTGGCAAGCCAGATGACCCTGCAGACAGTGGTGGGCGAGCGCAACCCAGAGGACGCGCACCTATCGCACCACAATCCGAGAGCAGCGCACCGCTGGCACCATCGCAGTCGACGGTGGCGCTACTGCAAAGTCATCCTCATGGACCAGTTCTTTAACTTCTCCACCCATCACTCCGGTGTCGGACCCGTCCTGCACATCGGCAATATGCACATGTACGTTGGTGCATCGAAGGTAGCGTTCCGAATGTACCTGGCCTCTGCGTTGTGCTAACCTCAAAATGGAGACCTGTTTGGCTGTGAGCCAACCCTGATTGGTTAGGCCCTAGAAGTTGCAAAAAACAAAACTCCATTTGACACATGAAAACGAGTCATTGGGGTCCCTGAATAAGGAACTCCTTTTGACCGAGATTGTGTTTTGCCACCCAAACCGGGTCGGTGTTTTGAAAATTGTAATGTTGACCTTCACATTTATAAAGCGCTTTGAAATTTTTAGATTTCCCTGAAGACTCACCACAGCAAATTTTTCTCTTTAAGTAGTCCTAATTGTTGTCACCAACCAACTGCCCGAAGACCTTTGAATTACGTATCAAAGACAAACTCGTATGATTAGAGGTGTTAATGAGTCCCCTAAACCAATGACTGGCGAATTTCGCCGTGCTCCCACTAGATGTCGATACGGTTTCGAAGGTTTGGCCTGTGTGTTGCCACCCTCTTCTTTTAATACATTTGTTATCAAGCCCAGATGGATGGTTTCAAATCAGTTTTGTAACTGAACATTTACTAGATTACTGAAGAAAGCCTCTGTTTTTCAGTGACGTGAATTTTCGGACATTTCATGGGTCCAGTGTCGGTGAGTGGATGGACAAAATCACCAAGGTCATCAGCGAACCTAGTGCGCTGGGTTATGTCCAGACGAATCCAAACAAATCCTTCGCCCCGGTACGCAAAGATGGCAAATTCCTTCTGTAAGTTTAATGTTCTAGATGTTTTATAACGTGAAATTTATGGTTTTGTGGCGAAAAAGTTGCATCCATTGAAAGGCTAACAGATGAAATCTATTAAGTAGAAACAGCCACAAATGTATCCTTTTGTCATCTGGCCACCTGTTACATAAAAAGCACCAAACGTGAGCAGCGCACGAAGTCCATGAGGCACAAGTCAGTGCCACGGTGGTCCCTGGGTGAAAGCGCTGGCACATTTGGCCATCTGCGTTGTCTTCGTTGAGGTTCCCTGAAACACATCCTCCCCTGTGGGCACAGATGCGTCTGCACGTATTGTCAACACTCGCTCTACGCCCTGCAAAGCTTTACACAAACAAAACAGTGCCCCTCGTGGCGCCTGCCCACACCGCAAACCCTCGCAATTTGTCTCGGGCGGCCCTGCAAGCTCTAAAAGGCTTCCTTCAGATCCGCCAAGTGTGCGTGTCATCTATCTATTCTTTTCCCGCCTTCTGCCCTGGATATGCTTATGCCAAAAGACCACAATGTTGCACCACATTTTGAAGCAACACAGAAATTAGTACAAAAGCGCTCATTTTGGTAACCAGGAGCGTGTTCGACGAGGTGAGGTTTTTCACATTAAATATTGATAGACAATACACCATTCGTTTGAAGGGTTTAATGTGTGAATTTAGGTTTAACTAAAAAAGGCGAGATACTGCGAGACACTGAAGACTAAACACAAGCAATGGTCTGGAGGTGGGGGATCATGAGTGCATTGTGTTTAGTGCAACGATTCAGGTCTCTCAGTGGTCGGTTAGAAATTCACCGTGAGCAGGGCCACCATGCATTGGTGAGCGTGAAAGCCAATCGCGACGCCGGCACGCCATGAAGCCCAAGTGGGTGGGGCTGCTCCTGCGAGTAAGCGTGTTATCCCCCACCGGCGTATGTGAAGTGGCTGCTGACGGCGGCGGTGGGTAATGTTGGCAGACGCATCTCACGAAAAGTTCGTCATCTTCTCTGTTCATGAATCCGGTGGGATAATCAGTGTGTTCTGTTTCCGGGTGTTGCAAATGAATTTACTCCAGTGAGAGTCGTTTTAAACTACGGTCGGACTCAGACGATAGGTAAATGTTTACTCAAGCATCGACATTTCGAAAGGTTTAAATAAAGTTCTGCTGTTTTACATAAGAGACGAGGATATTAGACCTGATCTCAGCATGAATTCTAACCTCTTAGAACAGAGAGGTGTTAATGAGGTTGGCGAGAAACGAGGGCTCATCGATGCAATGATGCGCGAATGCTAATGCAAGAAGGCTGGACACGAACTGTGGCCGTTTTCGGGTGGTTTGTAAGCGTCAAATGGTAAGACACCACATCTCGCGTTGACTCAAAGCTCACTTGACGAAGTCCAGGCACTCACAAATAAACGTCACGTGACCCGGCAAATTTTGATTCGTCTAACTCACCGAGTGGGTCTCGCTGTGCACTTCATTGGCAAATGCACCACAGGCGGTTAGCACTTCAAAAGGCGGTGGAATCAAAACTGTTGCATTCAGAAATCAGGCAAAAGGGGTAAATCTACCTGATATTGGGTGCCTTTTGAATAAGGACATTTAGATTCCTATTAATTATGTCCCCACCCGGACTTTTGGATGTAACTCACACGAAGAGCAGCACACCCAAAAGGCCAAAGCACGACGTTCCCTCTTAAAAATTCTTTGCGATTAGGGTCGAGATGTAAATGAAAATTTATCGATGAAGTATCCTATGTGTAATGGGTTACCTATTCATAGTCATTGCATGCGAGGTTCACGTAGGTTGGGGGTATGTGCTAAATTATTTTCGGAGTATGTTCTTTCACATCTTTTTAGGGACTATGTTTCCTATAGTTAGCATTTTTTAACACTGGGCTCTTATAACTATGTACTTTGCTTCGCCCCAAGGATTTTCAGCCGTACTGCGGTTCCCGTCGAATTATTTTGCAGTATGATCATCGAACAAAAATTGACTTTGGTCTTGAGTGGATTTACTGACCAGCATATTGATGGGTTGTTTGGACATGTGTACCACAAAATCGATCCATCTCATGGCTGTGAAATCAGCCAATTGATTTACTTGTAGAATGTGGCAGAAAACATTAACTGTGTCGTTCGTCGTAATATCTACCTATCAAGTATTTACGGACAGACTCAGTATCTTTTCTAGGTAATCTCTTGGATGGCTTGTTTCACCGTGTTGGTGCGCTGGCACACGCTCTGTGCAGACTAGGTTCGACTCCCTGTCGAGTGCTTTGGCAGTTGTAGCGGCTGTTCACATCTCTACCTGAAAGTGTGTGTAACCACGCTGTTCTTAATTTACCTTACTCTTAAATTGACTCAAAATAATTAATCGTGGCATACACGTGTACCGACCTGCCAAGCAGGATTATTCCCAACAATTCAATTAGTTGGAAATATGCATTTATGAGGTCATGAGATTATTGTTGCTATGACACGAAAAAGGACTATAACCTGTACATCTAGTGGGTTAAAGCGGGTCGAAAAGCGTTAATTTCACTTTCTAGTTGCATAGACGGTGCCTCCTACATGGACGCTGTCGCAGATGGCATCAACCAGGCTCAGCACGAAATCTTCATCACTGACTGGTGGCTTTCCCCAGAGATCTTTCTAAAGAGACCCGGCGGTGCAGACAAGTGGAGGCTGGATCTCCTGCTCAAGAGAAAGGCCGTAAGCGTGTTTATGGAGCAATTTGAGTTCCTGTTTGAAGGTTCAGCAAGTCAAACGCCTTTTATTGTCACCCCTATTTTTCTTTGTGCATCTAATGCCGTGTTGGCAAGTCGCAAATCAGCCTTAAGCGACCAGGGTGCTTCACACCAAACAACCCTGCTAAAGTCCTAGATCAGAATCCCGCTCTCGCTTGGACAACTGACAGCCCAAAACAAACCATATCTACGTAAAATGGTACACTGCAGAAGGAGGCTTGTTCTTGACTATCTTGCCAGATGCTAAATTTTCACTCCCCAAACTAACAATCCGATTTGGATGTGGAGGATCAATCCCACACGACCAAATTCCTTATACCTTTCAAGTCATTTCGTTTTCTGTTAAGAGGCACACCGTGTAAGAGCGAATAGTAAGTTTATTTCAGGAAAACAACGTGCTGTGTGTTTTGGAATATGACTTATCAGCTTTCCTTTGGATGTCAATTCTCTGCCGACAGATAACCCTATACCGCACAGTGAAATACAACCGCTTGCAACGCCTCGTTTTTCAAACATCCAGGCAAATTTTCAGATAGTTAGTCCGATTCCGTAATGAAATATCTGTGCGTTCTCTAGGTGATGACTGTTTACGCTCACCTGGAATTCAAAAGACGACTGTGGATTCACTCGTTGATGCGGTTATTTTTCAGGACAATGCGTTCATAGTCAGTGAAAAACCAAAGCAGAATTGGGCCATAAACAAGCCTTCAAACTAGCAGCAGCAGTAGTAGTCTATAAACATGGATTTGACAGAACCCAAGTTACTTCGGTTTAAATCGGTCAAACGCCACAAAACTCCTAGCCGTTTTCGAGTCTTGTTTCGATGAAGCTTCTCCCAATTACAGTCATTTACTTTGCGGCAATAAGATATTAAATCGGGACATTCTCTCAGTCAACCGGAAAGGCTTGAGTCTTTGGAAAATGGTTCCACGTATTATATAAAAAAACCCTTTTGTTCAGTTTTTGGCCTTTCTCACAAATCAGCACTGCCTGCTACCTGAAAACTCCCTTCCTGGGAGGTGGTCATCGTCATGGGCGAAATTAAGTTCCTGCACTTTTCGAAACTGGCCGCATTAATCTTTTTATGATTCCATAGCGAAAATTAATTTAAATCATTTTTTCCGATTACTTTGTGTTTATGTGAAGTTGTCATTCCTGGGCTAAACAATTACTACATGTGCACATCGCGAATTCCTTATATGACAAAATCATACTGAATTATCACCCAGGCTTAATGAAATTCTCTAGTTCAACGTGGGACCGAAGTGCTTTGCAATTTGCCAACAACAAAAGGCACCACGATTCGTGTGCATAAGGAATTCGTCAGTTTAGCGCTATTTCTATCTCTCACTCCAGCGTATGCTACAGTTATCTATTTGCTATCCACAGTGTATGCTCTTTTCTCTGCTCCGTTGACGACCAAAACTGCTAACTGTTTATCGATGTGATCCGCTCGAAATACCGCCATGATAGCTTTCTCGTAGTTTCCTTTCGGAGAGGAAACTAAAGAAATTCCTCCCTTTTCACGAGTATCCCAAATAATCTAAGTTTAATCAAAGTGACATCATAAAACCATAGACCATTCCACCATCTTCTAAATCCTTAGCTCGAGGTTTTTGTGTTAGATTGTCCATAAGAGACGTTAATTAACATCCCGAGTTTAATTAAATAGTACAGATTTCTGAAGTGAATCTGTCGTTATGTATACAATATGTTCAAGTATACACACGTGCCCTTGTTTGCTTCCCTATAATATCAAAAACCTGTATTGTAGTCTTTCATTGGTTGTTACCATTTAGGCAATTAACCTATATTTAGATATCTTGATACAAAACACACGGCTAACAAAACACAGCCACTAATTTCAATAAGCACAAGTCCTGTTTGACCTGCTGGATGGAGAAAGGGGAGGCTACAACTACGACAAGGCGAAATTCTACTGACTATCTGCTCTCCCCTTCACCCCTTCAATATGCGACCCACCAAGCCACCATTTGTCCACTCTTCGTTCATCTGCACGGTTGCACATCGTTCCCTGTCCGTGTTGTGGCTGATCCAATGAAGTTGGTTCTCACCTGCAGAAGCACGGATGCATTCGATAATACTCAGAAACCAACAGCCCTCTGCTCACAGATATCTTTTGGCTTAAAAATACTGTTAGCCTCCAACTAAGCCATATCTGCATAGGTGTAAAAGCGCATCTGATGAACCTATTTCGAAACCGGAAATAATCCTAACCAAATCAGGAGACTCCTCTGTCTCTGTCCAAGATTATATAAGGCCAACTCACTTTTATTAATGCCACTAGGCTCTTCATGGATGGTCTTATTAAGCTAAAAAAGTGGACATTCATGGAGATGGAATTTTATTCAGCATAAAAGCGTGGGTACACTTGGTCGAGAGCTCATTCCCCTACACAAATTTACCTTAAATACGTTTTCATTTATGTAGGAAGCTGGTGTGCGTATTTGCATCCTCATCTACAGAGAACTCTCAGTAGCTCTGAAAATTAACAGCAAACACACATCCAGATGGTTGTCTAGTCTTCATCCAAACATCCACGTAAGTTGAATCAAGCAATTAATCACGACTTTCCTGCGAACATTGACAGTAGTTACGGGTGGTATTAGTCACATCTATTTGTCATGTGTTTAATGCAACCAATTCTTTTAACAGCCTCTCAATAATAGCTATTAAAAACCCCATTCTCGATGCGGAGTTGGGAGTCACAATGACGCATTAACTTACGTCAATAACGGAATTCCCTGTCAAAATAATCAAATCATGTATTTCGAAATCGGGCTTCTAGAAATGTCTTTATAAACTTATCCTAATAGGAGTTCTATAATGCCTTTTCTTTAGCACTTTCATAAGGGGCTGACTGCACCTCAATCGTTTTAGGTCATCAGGCATCCGGACCACATTCGTGATTCAGTACTTCTTTGGTCTCATCATGAGAAGATGGTGGTCATTGATCAGTCGATTGCCTTCATGGGAGGAATTGACCTTTGTTATGGGCGTTGGGATAGACAGGACCACCCGTAAGTTTTCCTTCCTCTATTTTGCACCGAGACGTATATGGAAAATTTAGGCCAGATCACTGACTCTTCTTCTGACACCAGTGGAAACACAGAACAGAACATGAAGAGAGGTTAGTGTCAGAGGACATCCTGGTAGACGCAGGTTGGCTGTTTTGAGTACTGAGGTGCTTCCTTGGCATGATCTGACCATGAATAAAAGTGGCCTGTTTCCACGTGGTGATCGCCTTTAAACTAACATTCCTCTGACGGGTATGATCAGTGCCCCGTACCTCGTAGTTTATTCACCCTGAGGCTTTTCCTTTGTGTCAGAGCCAACCGATCTAGAAAGTCAAGCGAACAGCAACCTCCACGTAACTTTCAATTGCCCTGTCGAAAATGAAGTGTTCATTGCCAAAGCTCTCTGTAAACCACTCTCAATCTGTGTGAATACATCCTAGAGGTTTTTTTTACAAATTTAAGGATGTGGCGCTGGTTGATTGTATTAGCGACCCCTGATGCCAACCCAAGTTCACGTCAGATGGCTCTGTGTCAATTTGATAGTTACTGGGTCGAACTCGCTTTTCCTACAGCGATATTTTAATGCCAAATGATAATGTTTATGGTCATTAGTTTAAAAGTAAATTTTTTTTCAAATAGGCAATATCAAATGCCTCCATTATTAATAGCCTAAAATACTCAAGAGTCGTCATCATTTGACTCCGTCTTAAAACTGTACGGATAGATTTGCCTTATGTGATTGGTCTTTGTCATCATTTAAGCAAATAGGTGCTTATTTCCAACCGTAAAAGCTTTCAAGATTTTTGTCCATCTCGCTGACTCATGTGGTGGTAAGCCAATCAATACATGCCAACCATTCGAAAACTAAATTATGCATGGCTTCTTCACGACCTAACCTAAATTGCGCATTGTCTTTTATCCAAGGTAACGTTGGGGTTTTCTTTATCGTGTGTTTGCTTAAATTCCCTTCCAGCCTGATCGACCTGGACAAGTCTGAACCCTACAGCAGGGGCGCCAGTCGGAGACAGGTTCAGGTACTTCATTAGTTTGCTTTACGTGTTCTCTGCCTTTTTTAAACATAATTTTGATTTTCTTCCTGTTATACTGCTTAAGACTGTGGTGGAGTCACTGAGACTTAATAAAGCAGCCTCTTTAATTAATTTTGTTAAACCGATTCTCGACATTATTGGCATTATTACCAATCGATATGCGTAATGATATGTTTGCGCCTGACATAATTTACGATTCTTGCCAATGACGGAGATTTATTTTCAGAGGCTCACATATGCTTGAACTCGAGTTTGTGTTTTGAAAATGGCTTACATGTTGCTCAGTTGTGGGATTTGAAGTGGCCTAATTGCACAAACGAAGGAGTTTTACTAAATATATCTTTAATTAGTTTGGAAAGCCAAGCATTCATTGGTTCTGGTGTTGTACCAATAAGCCTCCTCTGATAAAAAACGCGATTTCAGGTCAGACTCCTGTTACCTGATCTAACTTGTTGTGGTTGCCGTGCAACACAAAAGCCTTTAACCTAGTAGTTGTGGTTGCCGTGTTGAAGCAGATGGGTAGACGTAGACCCCTGACCACTTGGAATGCGAGAGAAGCAGACAGTCTCAGTGAAAAGATACATCTTCGCTAAAATTACTAAGTATTGCATTTACTGGTGATGTGCGATGTAAAAGGAAAAACAATCGTTCAGATAGTTGTGGTCTACAAATTGCGTTAATGCGGCAAAGGTAAAAGCAATTAAAATTTAGTGATTCTCTCAGTGTCGGCTATTTGGATTTTCAAGGATACTTCCACCAAATGCAGAAATTAAGCCTAGACTTTACCCATTCGTTACCATTTTGCAATAAACGAGTAAATGTTTGTTTGTCATGATGTTATCACGTTCTCGGCAATCCGACTGCGGCATCCACAACCCACTTAACGGCGATATTTTATCAATGGCGCACACACGAAGAAATTTAGCTTCTTCCCATCGAGTTTTTTTGGAAATTAAAGCAATGCATTTGCTTGACAAGTGTAATAACCTATAAGTTTAGCGTGGTGCAACATTTGTAGGTATTCAGTTGTTGCAAAAATGATTGCCGCCTATGTCTGGAGCATTAAAGCAGATCTGATTTCTGTTGTCTTTGACGAATTCGGCACCGCTTTAAAATCCCAAATTGAGCGTCCAGTGTTACCCATCCCTTTCTGCAGCTTTTAAATCATTTTTACGCTTCACAGGCAGTAGGAGTTAGCGTTAATGCGTTCGAGTCACGCTTTGTACGAAATCACCACAGACGGCGGAGTTGGCATGAGTTCGTACCAACTGATTCTCCTTACTTGTGGGTTTCCGTCGATTGGCTTCCCTCTCTGCATGTAGGGAGAGCACTCGGCTGGAGGTGAGGCAAAGGTCTGCCTTGGGGTCGACCTGTTCAAGGCTTCGCCGTGCTGTTGTCGTTGTTTACGCACACGTCTACTGTACACCACATAAAGAGCAGATAGACGCCATGAGCTGCTGGTAGCAGACACTGTCCAAAGGTCAATCAGTCCGCTAAAGTCGTTTTTTGTTGTTATCAAAAAGTGTTCATACGCCAAGTTTTATACGATACCATTTATAACGTTGAAGTGAATCCATCTTTACAAGTCAGTCCACTCATTTGAATGTTTAAATCTGTAAAGCCCGAACGGCTTAGATCAGGCAAGTTCAACCACACGCTCCTTCGCATTATTGCCTCTGAATGATGAAACTTAGTGTTACTCGCCTGGCACAATTCGGGTGTTCTTTTGTTGTCGTTTTTCATGAATTTCTTATTATTATGTCAGCTCTGGCCCGTCATACTCTCTTAGTTAGAGGATGCAGCAAAATCAATTTTCGTCGCCCTGATGCCTATAACTAAAAGCTTGCCCGACTTGAATGCCCAAAGGGTGACAGACTCCCACAACCAGCCCTTAGAACGCAGGGACTCCCTTAGCGTTATCTTTACCGACGCACCTCAAGAAGAAATCGATCGCGACCGAAGGGCTCGGACAGGTGGCTCACCGACTCCTCCCCTTCCGGACACTTCGTCTCCTCTCGCTGGAGCGCGGCTAAACTTCCAGTCACTTGCGAGTGCGGCGAAAGCAGCTGTCGCTTGGAAAAAGCAGACCAGCCAAACGGACGACATTGAGGTACAGTCTTAGGACTCCGGACATATTTTTTACACCAAGTTGGCTCTTCGTGAAGTTTGAATCTATTATAAAAAGTGTGCAACTTACAATTTTTTATCTCTTCCGTGTGCCCGAGCCGCGTGGCCTCGTCCCAGCGCGCGCTCTCTCTCTCTCTCGAATATTTAGCATAGTAGTTATGTCTGAGTGTATAATATATCTAAAGGTGCCTTCTAAATGCGTTTCGATTTACCAGAATATGACCTCAATTCGCTCAATCAGGTTTGACCGCTACCCTCGTAATTCGTCATCCACAGGTGTTTTGGCAAATATTGGTCGACCACATCTGCTGAAGGCGTCAAGTTAAGCACTTTGTAGTTGACTTTTATTTACCTTTTCATGCACTTTCTTCGACGCCAATCAACAGTCTTTTTCGTGTCGTTAACATTCTTATATAGTTATAATTAAAGGGCAGAGGTTAGTCGCCTTGCAGGCCGAGGGCATTGCTAAGGCGCCGCTTTCACTGCACCCACACCGACAATCAAAGTAATATCAGCTCGTATATATTTATTATTTTTTGGTGAAGCTCATAACGTAGTTAGTATAGAAGACCTTTAAAACAAAACTCTGGTCTTTAGTTCTACGGTTTTGTTGGAAACTCAAGTATATTTTCACAATCCGAGAGTCAAATATATACAAAAATATCGACCGGCATCCTAACAAAAGTTGGATGAAGTAATATCCGGCTACAGATTGGATCAGGCAACGCCTTCCTTGCTTTAGCCCGTGCTGTGGCACTCACAGACACCGAATCCGAGGTCTCGGCTTTAAAGAGCAGTTAACGCCAAAATTGCAACATGATCTATCTTTGAAGTCTTCGATCGTTCGTTTCCAATCTGGTTGTGGCCATTGGCATCCGTCAATATTTTTGGCATCAAAAGGCAAATTTACTACTAATTCCCGCCTTTGCTCTTGAATAAAATGTATAGGAATCAGATTCAGAACCGGTTTTGTGATCCGGTTGGTACTATCAATAATATTAGTTATCATGGTATTTTGTTGGGTTAGTGAACAGGAGTGATCATTCCTCAAGAATTTGTTGTACTTAAATTTGGCTGTATCAATTGAGTGCTTCCATAGTAAGATAGCTGTATGGTCAGTGTATTTTGTGTCCCGTTCACACCTTTTTAATATTGGAAACTGTCACAAATAAATCAGTGTTTTCTGCTTATTTGCGTTGGCGTTGATGTGAATATGTTTTTTTTCTACCCATTTTGTCATAGCTCTTGCGTTTTGACCTGCCCCCGCCGAGGCGCGAAATTGCTGTTTTGTTACGCACCTATCATTCAACATTGCACGAGCACCAGAGCAAATTTGGTGCTCACTTAAATCGCTCAGTGCGCTCCTTCTGATTTTGTAACAGGTGCCGGGTATTATAAAACTAAGTTGCCGTCAATTTCAGCCCTAAAAATGCAATGGCTTCACATAATGTAGCAGACCAAGCCAAAAGGCATCTAATGCATCGTGCTTTATAAAGTTGTGCGAACGCACATCTCCAACGCACAGTCGCCAAGAAGCCAGGGCATTGGCAGAACAACTCGTTGTCAGGTTTACTGACTTTATAATAGACTTGGTGCTTCACTGATTTCACATGATGAGATGGCACAATGCAAGTCCATCGCCTTCCCCACCGGGCTCACGAATCGACCCTCGGACGGCGACTGGCTCGTTTGGAATGTCAAAGAATTTGCGAACAGAGGCGTTGTGCACGCAGCATCGCTTGACTACTTGGGACCACTGAAGCACGTAATGGCATTTTACGCTGCAGCTGTGGAATCCAAGTGCAGCTGAATCATTAAGCTTTATGGTTATTCACTAAAAGCATTTAAATGTTAATGGACATGTAAATTTTCTCCTGCTACTGTTAAATCGAAATGACTAAAGGTAACCCACGTGGCTGCAAATGCAAATTTGCCCTTCCACCCGTTGTATTCCCGATCAAGTCGGTCCCACGCAAAGCCAAGTCGTCCATGCCATGTTTTGTAAGAGCCTGTGGAAATCTAGGCAGGTTTTACCTTTGAATTGTAGTGTAGCAGAAATTTCTTAAACTTATATAAATATGTTTGACACCTTGCTTCCACATATTTTTAGTAATTCTAGACTCTTTTTATTCATCAATTCCGAGCGATGTTACATCGCCATTCATGAATAGCGCGCTTGACAAGGTCGTCAGTTCGATACATACCGTTGTCGACAAAACGGTGTCTGGATAGCCACGATGGATTCGATGTAGAAGACCAACTATATTTTGCAATAATTAAGTATTAAGATTTTGGCTTCTTTTTTTCAACAATAATCTTTTTCGGACGATCTTTGCAATCAAATTCCGCATCTGTCCGTTTCCCTACACGGTTCGTAGGCCAAATCCGTTCTTGATTTGAAGTAGAGTAAGAAGTATCATAAATTTGTCAGATTAGTCTATCTCTCATAGGGTATTTTAAATTCATGCATACTTTTGTTTAATGTTTCTATCTGTTTCGTAGCAGCCTGGTTTCAAAGTTATGCCTGACGGTCAGATGGCCTTCCGCTCGTCGGTGCGCACGCGCAGAAGTGCCCGGCGCAACCGACAGCATCTTGCGCGTGAAGCGCCTGCAAAACCCGAGGGCGTCAGCGGCAGATGTGTTGAGAAAGACGAGAATTTCGAACCTACTATGGACATCCAAATCCCAGGGATCGGACGTCTTCAGGTCCCCATCGATGCACCACAGGCTCCACAGGGTGTCGCCTCCAGTCACGATCGCCGCGGCTCGAAGAAGCACACGCGCCACCTGTCTTCAGGAGGGGTGAAACGAAAGTCCAGTTATGGGCGAAGGCGGACACTCAGCCAATCCGTGATGAACGAAAGAAGAGTGCGGTCACCTGGTCTCCGTCAAACAAACTTTGCTTCTCCTCCAATCGTCATATCTAGTCCCGGGGAAGATGACTCCAGTTCTACGGCAGATAAACCCAGGAGGCCCCGCTTCTCCACAGTTGATGTAAGACTACTAGCCTTTAAAGTAGGTACCATGTTTACAAGCACAACCATTTCCCTTGTTACTTTCAGTTTGGCAATCGGATCCAAGGCTTTTTTGCACGTGTTGGTTCGCAAAGGAAACGGTCACCAGTGCCCAGGGTGTCCGAATCAGACTCTGACGACTCTGACGATCTTGAATATGACAACCTCGGTTTTTATGCGCGACGTCAAAGCAAGGCTCCGTTCGGGAAGTTACGAAGAGGACTTAGCACCGTGATCCAACCCGAAATAGGGTCTGTTGCTTATGACCTTCCAGTGACATTGGTGTTCATTTTATTATTCCTTTGATTTTATCGTGCGAAGTTCGAGTGTGCGTACCTACTAACTTAATATTCAGCTTGTGTCTTGGCATTTGCAATGGTTTTAGGAAGGTTTGCATGCTTCGAAGCTGTTTAGAAATATCTTGGGAAATGATATCTAAGTAAATATGTTTATCAGTCAGTTTAATGCTTTTAGCCTCGCGTTAAATACCGATTTTCGAGCAAGATGCACCTGGTTCTAGCTTTGTCGCGTTCAAACACAAGAGTCGTATGTAAAATAACGATGCTTTTAATTGGAATTTATGAAGTCCTGTGGTGGTTATTTATAATTTGTCTTAAATGATTTATATATCACACATCGATTGCCCAATTTACCTAACTACAAACCTAGTAGCTGGGCTTGGTACGCGAGTGCGATCTCACACGATAAGGTCAAAATGCAGGTCTCTCGAACTCGAGTGAATTGGGGTCCACACCTGTTTTCCTCTACCAAATTCCGTCAGCGTCTTTGACGACTTAACCGGTATCCAAGCTAGATAGGAATCGAGCCCAGTACCCAAGAGACCAAAAGTTGAACGGAGACTTCGTGACACCTAAATTACGTTGCTTTGGGCCCTAGCATATGGTCTTGAACCACGCCGGGACCAATGAATTGGATCTGGCCCGATTACGCAACCGTTTGGAAACCGCTTCCACATTTCGTGAGTAGTTTCGTAATTTAGGAGGATAGGTGCACTTCTTATTACATTTGTTTTTCTTTCTGCATCTCTAAAGGGATGAGCCTGGTGATGTGGGAGGAGAGGAATCCACTCTTGCTTCGCTTTCTCGTCGTTACCTTTTTGTGGGCAAAGATTATGGCAACTGGCTTATTAAAGACGCCTGTGAACTCCACCTACCGGAAGAAGGTAAACGTTGCATAAAAACTTGTATGAACAATTAGGGGCTTGTGGTTCGTAGTGTTGCGTCTCAAACCTACTGGTCCACGTTAATCGAATTAAAACGCAAATATTCTTGGTGTTAATCATGTTGGCGCTAGCAACGCGACAAATAGGGACCGGAGTTTTTCGTGTTTTGGTTTGGAAACCACGCAACTGCAGAGGTGGGCAACAAGTTAAGCCCGTGCGGTCTCAATATATCACCCCCAACGGGCCCGATCGACGAAAGGTTCGCAAGGGCATCGTCACTGAGAATCATTCAACTGTACCGAAGTTCAGGTAGCTCTAAATTAATTAGTGGGCAAGGTTTTGAATTTCTTCCATTTATTCGATTGGGTGCAACGAAGACGACAAGCGCGACTGTGATCAGTGAGCGTGGATGTCCTCCGTCTACCATTGTTCCAAGGTTCACATTTGAGGGGCAGTGTTTGTTAATAAACCGGAATTCGCTAGAGTTTCTCTTGAGCTTTAACCTGCGTTGCTATGAATGTACGCTAACTACTAATATGCCGCAAAAATTAGCCCTGACTTCAAGACCTTAAAAGCCCTTGGTTCTGTCTTCTCCAATTCACATTTAAGACACAGGGGAATTTATGGATCCTAGTTGACTGGAATAAGTCCTGTTCCTAACTTGAATGGCTTGTCAAAATTAGTGCCGCCGTGGAAAATGTTGGGACCAAGTTCTATCTCATTTTCATCCTCAAGCTAACTGCACACAATTTTATTGTCATGGCAAAAGCCTGGTCATTGCTTTCATGTGCGTCTTCACCCAATGGTTTGCCTGGCTTACATCTAGCACACGTAGGTATAAATCTCTAGCTTTTGCGTTGATGCTGCTTTAGACATGATTGACCGCACAACGATACCGCGTATGCCTTGGCACGACGTCGGCTGTGCGGTTTCCGGGTCGATTGCATCTGATTTCGCTCGGCACTTTATTCAACGCTGGAACGCCACCAGGGTAAGTTGGAGATGCCAGCCAATGCGGACATTCGAGTTGTACGCTTTTGCACTCTCGAAGAAATGGTTAGACTGCATACAGGTTAATTGAACTTATTTTTTTTTAAAAGTAATGTTTCTGACACTACCTCAGTTATTACAGAGAGGAATGCCACAAGGCAACGAAGGCAAACGTGAATTTATTTTATATATAGCATAAGTTTTATAATTTAGGTTGGTTTTAAAATTTGTTTTGACCAAATATTCTTTTAAAAAATCCTGATTAGTTGGGTTAGCTGAATTTCTCTAAAATTCTCAATGCACTTAGGCAGCATTCAATTGCCTTTTTGATCCGTTGCATGTCCTGCTCACCATTAACTATAGCCTGCCATCTTTGCAGAAGTCTTTGTGCGTGCTGCAGCTGGACTTTCAGAAATCCGACATTCAGGGCTTCATTGCAACTGGCGTTTTTTTAATATTTCCACCCCTTAATTCTTAGTGTACAACAATTTGATGTCACATTTTCATGAGTAGGTAGTACATGTCCTCTAGCGACTTCAAAAGTACCCAGGTACTAATTAATCGTCTTCTGGTTATGTACAGAGCATTTTGCGTGTGCTTGTTATTTTAGGTGCGAAAAGTGAAGAGGCGACGGAAACGCGGCAATGGCACACTTCCGATCCCCCCAATGCTGCTGCCATGTCCTCCTTGTGAGCCCTGGACCCGCCTGAACCTCTCAACGGTGTGCGGCAAACGCCGGGCGCACCCCGTCCAGATGCAGGCCCTGCGTTCGGCCGGGCGCTGGGCTCTAGTCGCCAGCGCCGGCAACAACGGCCTCAACTCTACAAAGGACACTGCGGCAATTCCAAACAACCTGGACATTACGCCCGAGTACACTGAACGCTCAATCCTCAATGCTTATATTGAGGCCATTCGTAATTCAAAACACTACGTGTACATTGAGAATCAGTTCTTTATTAGCTGGCTCGATGAGACCACGATGGGCCATGACATGCAGTCGAGCTCAAACAGCAATATCGCTGGGAGTGAGACGGAGCTTCTTCCTGGTGTGGTTCAGAATACGATCACACAGGCCCTGTTTGAACGAATTGTTCAAGCACACAGGTAGGCAAAGTCGTCTTTTTGTGAGACTTGATAATTGATTGGGGGCTACAATTTGATGAAGGAGTTTTTTACAGGACAGAAGCAGGTACTAGCACGTGCCTACATTTCCTATGCGTCTATCAACTCTGTGAAACTGGTGTGTCGGATGTCTTATCACGCGGTGTTTTTCTGTGAATAATTAAAAAACCGCCCTCTTTTGGGCAATGCTGCACTTGGGTTTCCACGTCGTTTCGACGACAACTAAGTTCACAGTGGTTGACTTTTTGTTAGAGGCGAACAAATTTCTCCCAGGATGCCTGCAATACCGTTACTTAAAATTCTATCTACCAGTATTTCGGTAGCACAAAATCAGCCCCATCGTTTATTCAAGGCCACGTTTCCATGAAGGGACGGTTCGGCAATTGATCATCATGAACCAACACCCATAGGCAAGGAAAAGTCAAAACTACACACCCACCATTCCGAGCTAATTACAAAAAGATTGTAAACAAGAATTGGCTCGGACAGTTATTACTTACAAATTGTTTAAGAGACCTCAAAAACTTTTTGAAAAAGCATTAGTTGCTTAATGTGTGTAAACGAAACCAAATTGTGTCCCTTCAGTTATAAGTTATATATTCTCGCCGCTGTAACTCCATCACACTGCCAACCTTCAAAGACGACTACTGTTAGACTACTCGGCACTAATTCGAACCCAAGTAGACCTCAATTGTAAATACTGTTGGGAATAACTGCGATCTTAGTTGTTTAATTCGTAGCCGACGGTGTCAAGGAAGACTTTTCCACAAGATTTTTTGTCGCCACATTCAAAAATTTGTGGCATTGCATAGGGTGCTAGGTCAATAATGAGCTTGCGTCGGGTCAACAATCCTGTCACTATTTATTGACGTCTGTATTTAAAAATGGCTTGGTTTGTGTTTTTCCACCATAAGATTGCAAAGATACACTGCATTCTAACTACCTTGTGTTCAATTGTTTTCCCTCCTTTCAGGGAAAGGAAGCCTTATCGTGTTTACATAATTCTTCCTCTTCTACCTGGATTCGCGGGTGACCCGGGTTCCAGGCAGACTGGGATATCCATCCATTGTGTGCTGCATTACATCCGCGAGAGCCTGTTCCGTGGACCGACAGCCCTCATTCCTCGCCTAAATCTCATTATGGAGAGACCGTGGGACTACGTTAGTGTCTGTGGTCTCAGAAAATATGAAACTTGGCCTGATGGCCTCCTGGTATGTGCTGTTTTTTCGCGTCATGCCACCTGCGTTTCCGCACTTACCCGACGCCCCTTTAAAACGGGGCAACTATTTCGTTCGCGGATTAGGTTGCAATTTGGTGACATTCAGATCTGCCCTAAAATGCCTTGCGTTCCATTCTAACGGTTTAAAGGTTCGGCCCTGTCACTACAGAGTTGGATTCTTGTGCGTTCCCATTTGCTCATGTGAGCTCAAAGGGTCTAACTGCCGGATGGTAAAATCGTTGGGGTCGTTCGATCTAGTCAAAAGTCGAGAGCCAGTCGATAATGCCTGCTGGATTAGCATCAGAAGTGGGAGCTTAATGAACGTCGAGAGATGTAGCCATGTTGATTAAAAAAGAGACTCGGTGAGTGAAGCCAGGTTGTGATTTAGGCTAATGAAAGTGAAAAGATTGTCGTAGAACCATAGGTAGTCGGAGGAAGGTGGTCGGAGTTGAAGAACATCGCCCGGAGGTTGGTTGTCGTTAGGAGAATTGAAGTGTTTCGAAGATTTGATGTAGCCCGGAAGTGAGTGTGACCAGAATTGAATCCTGGCTGGGCGACGAGACGGAGTCATACTAATAGGTCGCCAAACGCCAGTACAAAGAGGGTTGATGTTAGTCAAACGCCAGAGCCAACCATTGTTGTTGGCCCCAGCATGTGGTCTTGAACCACGCCGGGACCACTGAGTTAGATCTGGCCCGATTACGCTACCCTGAGTACCCGCGAAGATGAAGAAGACCGGAGAGGTCGCAGACACAGCCATTGTCCTCAGAGCTCAACCAAGTTGGTGTCGTTGTAAAGTCAAATTTTTCGCGTGTGCATTTATACCTTAGATGTGTGAGTCATAGATGCGTTAGGTGTGAGGATAATCCAGGATAACCGTTCGTGGTTATAAGGAGGGAGTTGAGGATTCGCGGGGCTAACGACATGCCGCGTAAAGGTAGACCCTGTGTCGGAGGTTGGAGTGACCGGCTTAACGAGTGTGAATTAACACGATTCACAACACTTTCAATTCCTAAGGTAAATAAAGGCGGATCAAAAATTAACGAAATTTAGTTGTTGGGGATGCTGATTGTTAGAACCCATAGTATGCTACGGTGGCCTTCGACATCTTTACCCTTGGCTCAAGCGCCAGTTTGTGAGTTACTTAGTAGAGAGATCACTTACTTGGCTTAAACCCAGTCCGATTAAAGCTTAGGGTAGTTTTAGGTGTATATAAACCATAACGAATTCTTCGTCGATGTTTGTGTCCTCAACTCCACGTCGGGGCATCCATGGGAGCACTTTCCTTTGCATTCCAAAGCTTGGTAACGAAAGCGAAATCCTTATTAATGACCCCTGCATTCCCAATGTTGTAATTTCATCCCCATCACCTCGCGTCCCACCACCAGCGAAACAACTTCTGTTGGATTTGGCGACTTCGGCCCCTACCACCAACTGGCTTCCCTCCTTCCCTCACCCTCTTCTCCCTGACCCCTTTGCTGCCCCGCACAGTCTTTTTGCTAATATGCACCCAAAGCAGTCTGTTAATTTTCACTAACGATTTCCAAATCGGGAATTGAGGTTTATTGAACGACAACATTTTAGACGACAGAGTTCATCTACGTTCACTGCAAGCTGATGATAGTCGATGACCGGAAGCTGATTATTGGCTCAGCTAATATAAATGACCGAAGCATGCTTGGTTATCGAGACAGCGAACTGGCCCTGGTGGCAGAGGACACAGAGGAGGTAAGTCCCCTTTGTGGTCTCAAGCCGGTCCAAACGACAGTGGCTTGAGAATCTGGAGCTCACCTCTTCACAAGTATCGCTTTTACACCTATTAAGGCATGGAGTTCTACTAGGGCTATTGTTTCTTTATCGGGACCTACTTGTTTTGCCCCTTACACGAGGCCTTCTATCTAACTTTCGTGTTTCTACGATTTTTGTGCCACGTCCCTGCTTTAATTCGAATACTTTACTGGATATTTGCTTTGGCAAATGTGTGGAATAAAACTGGGTTCATTCTGAATTCAGCACTGGCTGAAACTCAAGCAAATCGACTTTGCTATTACTTTCAATTAGTTTAACTTTTAGTTGGCTTTACCAGCCTTGATAAAATGAGTTTTAGATATTAGCAAGTCCCAAAGATGGCGAAATAATCATCATTGTCTTCACTAATTTCTTTGGTTAAAATCTATTTTCATAGTACCTACTAAGGCCACTTGTTTTTACAACCACCAAATTCAAATCATTGTACTCGTATAGTGCTATTCTTAACGTTAAATTAAAAATTACTGCTGCGATTGCCTCAGTTGTTTGCTGTTAGCCCTATTTTTTACATCCCAATTAATCAACTCTGAGCAAAATAAAAAAAAATGTGCTTGAATCACGCGTCAGCCTAGGTTTGATCAGTAGAAACCACGGAAGTAATTATTCCGTCTATCACATTCAATTGTCACAGCTATTTCAGCACCTAATACTTCTTAAGTACTCCTCAAAGCTGCCTTACACTTAGTGAAGGAATATCTGCTTGCCAGATTTTATCAGAGGGTTTTGTGGCAAAAGAACTCTATGGGTGTTTTTATTGTATTTAGCTGCAGAAGTTGTGTTTTCAATGCAGGTTGGGACTCTCAAAGAGGCCGTGTTCGCCAAGAAAAAAGTCATGATTGGCGAAGTTGCCCGTCGCTTCCGAAAGACTCTGATGGCCGAGCACCTCGGAGTGCTAACGAAGGAATCGCGGGACAATTTGGACTGGGACTACACGCTGCTGGACGATCCGGTCTGCGACGAATTCTACCACAATGTGTGGTGCAAGACGGCAGATATGAATATGGATCTCTTTGACAAAGTAAGTTGGTTCGGCGTGTTTAATCAATGTGAATTTCTGCACATTTCTTCAAATCAGAAATCAAAAGTACTCTGAACAGTCGGAACATTAGGCGACAGTAACATGTTACTTGTTACAAATAGAAACATTTGTTTCCTTTAGTTATTTTTTATTTGGCTTCCCAAGCACTCGAGGGGAGCAGGTTTGGGGCATTAGGACCGCGTCTTCGTCGGTGACCAGTTTGCTCGCTTTTAGAGGGCGTTAAGTGGTTGTGTTGCACGGTCTTCTTCGGGTCAAACGTTAGTTCTATCTCTTGTGCACGCTGCTTCAAGCTTGACTTGGTCCATAAATCACACGAAGGACCTCTCATATTGAGTAAATCTTTTATGAAGAGCGTCATGATTAATAATGGGGCTATAAGCATCGTCGCATTTTATGCGATTAATCTTTCATGTAAGAGCCATTGTACCGACAAACATTCTAATATGACTAAACAGACACAAATGAGCAAGTTTAGTTCCATCTGCATTCGCTTAATATTTAGTAGCGCAAAGGTCTTGCGTCTGGGTATCTGCCAAAACCAATGTTTAGTCATTTTCGAAATGCACAGTACTCCACTTGCGGTAATATTTTGCCTGACAGAAGGGCGTTTACAAAACGACATTAGAGTCACAATGCAAATGGCATTCGATCGACTCAATCGCATATCACCCAAAAGCAAAACTCGTATTTTTGGCGTGGCCAAATTTAATTGATTCAATAAAGGAAGTTCAACAGACATATGCTCTGCCTGCATCCTGTCAGACCTTGGTGTTATAATCACCCTCCTCTTGGCAACAGGACATTTAATTGGTTACGTAGTGTACACTGATGATGCAACTTACGGCTGGATCATGCAGCAGGTATAATTGTATTTCAGGTTTTCAGCTGCTTGCCTTCCAATGAGCTCCATTCCTTCGCAGACGTCAAATTAATGCGGCAGCATGACCCACTCTTCATACGCGACTCCGAACAGGCTAAACAACTTGTCAAGGGTATTCGAGGTCATCTGGTGCGCTATCCAGAAGATTTCCTCCGCGACGAGGACATTTCTCCGCCACAGGGCTCCAAGGAGATTGTCGTTCCTGCCATAGTTTGGACATGACCGCCCACCTCCATCACCCAGACTCTCGCTTTCCACACGTCTTTCTCCTCCTTTCCTACCCATTCCGTACCAAGCAAAGGCAACGCATATTTTCTAACATTCCTATTGCTTTTTTATTTTTGACTCGAGACGCAACTCTGCTTTACCTATTATTTTTACTCTGACATATAGTGTATTTTGAAAAGGGATCTTATTTGTTAAGCTTATGACTTTGAGATAATAGAACACACCAAGTCCACGACTTTTGTATTATGAACATTCGATGGGTATAGAGCACATTGAGACGAAACCTATGTACTTATTGGCTTTTGCGCACAAATAATGTGATTACTATAAAATGCTGCATTATACGCTCTTAAATATTGCAGAATCAAAACTCGTGGATTCACTTTAACTGGAAAGTGGGTGATGTTAATGATTAAGTCATACATCAAATTGCCTGATCAGCCATCATATTCGTGTGGTAAGAAAACTAATAGTTCTACTTAGTGCACCTTAGAGTCTGTTTGCTTGTGTCTCAACATTAGTCGTTTCAATAGGTCATTGCAAATACATTTTACGACTAACTGATTTCCTTCTTTAATACAGAAAAAGTAAACACCCTGTAAAGTGTTCAAGGCTGTGGCTTTTATTAACGCCAAATTGTCGTCTAGTATGTGTGATGGGTTCAAGACGCAGTCCTATTTGGGTGTTCTGTAAAACATTGAGTTAACCATGGGCATTGGTAGCTTCTAACATAATTAAACGAGATTGTGGTTATGCAGCACATCGATTTCAGCGCATAACCGCTCAATTCAATGTCAATCATAGCTATTCCTTTTTAATATTTTCTAATAGGCGCTAGTTTTGAAGGACTTTGAGGCTGTTTGGGTCATTCATGCCGCAGCACTGCAACAGTCTACTTTAGTATGCGCTGATTTGTTGGTGACGGTTTGGGTGAGTCACGGGAGTAACACTGAGTAGTCTGTACGTGCTGACTGGAATGGACATGTGCTGAGAGCTTGAAGGTGGCAACCAAACGTCCACGCATGGACTAAGGTTCACACATTGAAAATTTGTTCCACTTTTGAAGAGCGTAGTAAGTTTATTTAGCCATGTTATCCAACGTAAGATAATTGTACAAATGGGGTCGAATTATTCAAAGTGCCAAGTGAGAACTTTACCTATTTACAAATCCCCTTTGTTCCTGTGTTCGGAGGAAAAACCGAGTTCCGTTAGTTAAAAAAATAACCAAGACATTTCCGAGTGTCTAAAAAAACGTGCACGTGGTGTCCTGAACTGGAAACATCAATTTCGTTAAGAAAGAGAATGAGTGCCAATTAAAATGATATCGATCAAAAGCTGGAGGGACAAGTAATGGTAGCCCTAGTATCGTGATGAACCATTCACTAACATAAAAGTGATGTGAAACGCGAATTAGTAGTATACGCAATAAACGAAGGCTTTTTATCAGTTCCAGGTGCCTGTCAACATGTTAAATAATCAATACTTGATCTTCGGCTGTAAGGAAAAAAATTAGGTTTCTTGCCTGACTCTTTAACCTGAATAAAAGTTTACTCGTAGAAGGTAAGTAGGTTTGTTACTGTAATTGGTTTTAGAAAGTTCTCGTAACAATATATAAAACGCTCCCAGTTAATGTATTTACGTAAATTCAAATTTTATTGATATTTCAGCCACGTGATGTGGTTCAATCATGGTTAGATCATTGTATTATTTGTTCTGAAAACACAAAAAGTCGGTCGAATTATTTTTATTCTCTTTGAGATAGGGGTTCACTAAAACTTTGGTCAGATTCTAAAAATACTATGGCAACAATATCAGAACAAACGAAATCAATGTAGGTTATTTTTCCGAATCCCACTATAAGAGAACGTACAAAGATCACTTGTTCAAGTCGACCTGTTTAATTACATAATGTGCTACAATTTTTCACACTAAAACCAATGTAATTTTTACATAAACAGGTTGTCAATAATCTTGCCCATGGTCGTACGAACTACTGTAAGCTTACGTACCCTCTGTTTAGGTTTCGTTTTTACCGAACTGATACTTTTATTAAATCTAAATGTGGAGTTTGCTTTATAAAAAAGTGCTTCTATCAAAAAAATTTTATGAACCTAAAAGTGATTAAGCGAAGTAGCGCCTTAGAGGCCTTGTCTGGGTGAAATGATGTATTTCGCCAAAGTATGTTAAATCAGCACTATGGTAGCACCAAAGTCAGGGTATCAGATAAAACACAGATTAATTAAAAGTTATTTTAAGTAAATAAAATGCAAAAATCATTAGCGAGACATCAAACATCATTAGCGAGACGCTAGAAAATTTAGTTTTTTTGGGTATTATACAAGGTTCTTGCATTAATTTGTGACAGGTTTCTTACAAGAGATAGACTTTCGCCAGTGTTTTTCAAAGAAAATTTATGGCGCTAAATGCCAACCACAGTTTCATCGACTGGATACTTGCGGCAAAATGAATGCTTTTATCCATTGTAATTATCTCATGTGACTGAGATCATACTTTATTCTGCTTCACGACTCTGAACATGCCAATATTAGGTAAGTTGAAAAAGCCGTATCGGACATAGAACACTGATTCAAATACGTTGGCCATTTGTCAGTTTCTAGACAAGTGTTTACTATCAACTGGGTAATTTATTGCCAGGTAATTTAAAGCCTGCTTTAAGGTTTTGACGAAATAATATTTAAAATTTGAACTTTTTGTTGAAAAAGCGTCTGATGTTTTGGTATCCTAAATTATTTAGTTATACGGAAAGACCACGGGATCCATTGTTTAGCTGAGAACAGTTGTTTTTTTTCAAAAGTAATGTGGCACATCATAATTTAAGGAGTTTATTTGCCCCGGGGATAACAGATCTATTAATTAGAGAACGAATCGAAGTAGTTGACTGCAACTTAGCTGTTGACTTAGCTAAACAGAATAGGCACAATACTTCATTGTTTAGGCCTGTTCGACCTGTTTCACCTTCATAAAACTGGTAAAAAGCTACTATTATGTCAAAATGAGCACGTCAAAGACACTGATCCAGAAGCGGACCTTTTCGTGGGTCTCACTTACCTTAAGTAATAGGTCGGACATTCAAACAGCTTAATAATTGAACTTTAAATGAGATGCTGTAAATCTGGCTGAAAAAAATAACTCCAATTAATTGTGTCCAAAATTGAACAGCGACATTAGAATGGCACAAAAGTGTTTCAACAGCGACGGTAGTATGTTGATAGACAAAAAAATTAAAAATAATTTCTAAAGATAAAGTGATAGTTAAGACTATATGTGCTTTGCTAATGGCAGTCGCTCTTGCCTCCAATACAATTTCTATTATTGTTCGATTTTTGTAAGTCCTTCGTCTTGGTTTTAAACGGGGTAAAAGTAAGCGGTATTGTATATGAAAATCAGACCAGCACGGGATCTACCTTTTTACACAATTTCTATACCAAGCAGAAAAGCGTTATGAAATTGTAGACAAGTGGCTGCCATTGCACATCCGATGCTGTGTAAATATTCGCGCATTAAGCACATTTCCAAGCTTCCTGAAAAAGCCTCGCCAATGTAAGAATTTTTGCCAGTCATGGGCTAGAAAAATTTTAAATAAATGCGTAAATAAAAAAGCTGAAATTTAAATGCAAACATGGTAATAAATTCGATTTACAATTAATGTATGGAACAAACGAAAAGGTCAGCCAATAATAAGGCTGTGATCGCTCAGTTACGACCCTAACGTTCATTTATTTAGTGAGGCTCCGGCCGTAGAGATGGCAGATGATTCAGAATGGGTTAAATTGCCAACAATTGAAAAAATCGAGCATAAAGTTTGTTTTCCTTGAAATTATAAATTTTTTAAGCAATGGAAAGCACGCGTCGCAGGATACGAAGAGGCCATAAAGTTATTCCAAACGCAACCTTCGGAGAAGAGTAATGTATTTACTGACTATCTCGGGCTAATGAAAAAGATGGTCACGGACAGCAACGCTATCGCCCAGGAAAAGGCTCTGGACGCAGTTCTGGTTTTTGTAGAAAATGCAGCCGTTGCTCCTCGGTAAGTCTTAGTTTTTCTTCTACGTTTAGAGCCGCGACCGATATATGCGCTGGCATTGTAAGCAAGTGTATGGGTGCTCCCCGTGCAAAAACTAAAGAGAAAGGGATCGAGGTGCTACTCTTTTATATTGAACTCGAGAAGACCGATGTCGTGCTTGAAGAAGTGCTGAAGGGTCTCTCCGTCAAACAACCAAAGGTTGTAGTAGGCTCTCTACAAACTTTACGGTCTGCTTTATCGTAAGCTTTATTTTTTTGTCAATACTGGAGCTTTAGGCTGTTTGGGTCAAAAGTGATTTCAATAAAGTCGATACTAAAAGATACCCTTCGCTTGCTTGAAGATCGCGACCCAAATATCAGAAGCGAAAGTAAAGAGTTGGTTGTCGAAATGTATCGATGGGCAGGAGCACCAATTAAAGCTCAATTGTCTGGTCTAAAGCCAGTACAAGTATGCAACATGCGTTTAATTGTTGCCCATTTAGCTAACAGAACTTGAAAACGAATTCGCGAAATGTCCTGCAGAGAAGCCATCTCCTACCAGATACTTAAAGAGCCAAGTCCCAAAAATTCTATCACAGCAGCAAAACAACGCAGCCTCTGAAGATGGCCCAGATTCTGGTGGTGATGTGGGTGCGGAAGTTGATATTGCTCTTGATCCTTACGAGTTAGCAGATCCCGTTAACATTTTGTCAAAAATACCGAATGATTTTTGGGAGCAAATGGTAATTTGTTTGCTTTTACAAATTTCTTCAGGAATCTAAAAAGTGGCAAGACCGTAAAGAAGCCTTAAGTTTGGTTGAGAATCTTTCTGACACCATGCGTTTGGCACCGGGAGATTATGGAGAATTGATGAAAGCCTTGCTGAAAGTTATCGCAAAGGATACAAATTTAATATTGGTCGGTCAAAGCGCGAAAGTTGTCACGCAAATTGCTAATGGACTGAGGAAAGATTTCCAGGTTTACGCTTCCGAGACCATCAAAGTATGCATTGAAAAGTTCAAAGAAAAGAAGCCGGCTGTATTGAGCGCTGTTCGGAGTGCCGCTGACGCAGCTCTCAATTCTGTACGTTTGTCCTTGTTATGCTCTTCGCAAACGTGATCTTGTAGCTATACATATTACTATTTTATTCGTCTAGACCTCCTTAGAATCGGTTCAAGACGATGTAATTGCTGCGACATCAAATAAAATCCCTGGTGTCCGTGCAGAAACTTGTCTTTATCTTGGGCGCGCCTTTGCGAACATGAATACTACCACTCTGAACAAGAAGCTACTAAAGGCTTTAATCGTGCCTCTGATCAAGTGTTCTGTTGACACAAATATGGAAGTTCGTGAGGCAAGCTTTTCAGCCCTTGGTATGGCAATGTTTGTTGTAACGGAGAAAAACATCATGCCCTTTCTTACGGATGTAGATAACATCCGATTAGGGCGAATTAAGGAGTTTTACGAAAAGGTGGTCAATGAAAAGAAGAATGGTAAGCTATTATCATAATTGTCACTTAAATGTGTTTATTATCCTAGTAGTCCTTTTATTCATTAATTCCTAGAGCTTCAGCCAACTCTTTAGGACTAATAAATTTAATACACAGCTCCACACTGACATGATCTTATCTTTACCAGCAAGTGTTAGACCAAATATTATGCAAACTAACTTATGTAGAGTGATTTCGTGTTTCCTTCCATTTCAGCTGGCGGCAACGATGGAGGCGGCGTTAGTGGTGGATCATCGGAGCCTCAAAGCAAAGTGGCCACGGTGAAACCCTGCCCTGCAACAAGTAAAGGGCCCACAGGAGCTTCAGCGGCTCCTGTCAAGCCATCATCCGCTGTAAAATCAGCTGCTGCAGGTGGAGCGAAACCAAAAAGCTCAGCAACTGGTGCAGGTGGTTCGGATCTGCCGAAGGAGCAGCTTATTGCCGATGATGTTGTTGAGCAACAGTTAACTGAGTAAGCTTTGTGAACCGAACATCGGCAAGTCTTTTTTGACGTCAAGGACCTGTTCCCTTTCTTTAGTATTCGACTTCAAGATTATGTTCTTCCATGTTAAATGGATTTGCATCTTCTCCAAGGCTTATTAATTGGGCCAGACAGGAAAACTCTTAGGTCTTTCTAAGTCCTTTATACTCATCTGTTCGTTTTAGTTTTTGTGCTAAGTCGGCCTTCTGTTGTGTTCAGTTCATTTCAGCTGAAACCGGTCTACTTTTTCTTGGATCCATAAATTCGATAATTGGTATCGCGGCTCTTGTCTTTGTGTTCGTGCACTCCCCAGCCTCGTCGATCTGTCGTGTTAGTAATTTTATTCCGTGTAATGTTTAGCTTTTCAGCACAGGATAAAAGGTTACAGATCGGGCAATATTTTTTTCACCATGGCAGCACCCCATTTGAAGGAAGTGTCCTACCACATGCTTTGCCTTACAGGTTTTTTGGCGAAGGATTATTGACAGACCTGTCGTCCACCATATGGAAGGAGCGTCTTGCTGCCATGGAAGTAGCCCAAACCAAGATCCGTAGTGCTGACTCGTCTCTGTCCTGCCAACTTGCCTGTCGACTGCTCATGCGCAAACCTGGCCTTAAAGATAATAACTTCCAGGTAATAAACATTCTGCACCACTGATTCTCCATCTTGGATGCAACATTTTCCACTGATTTAAACTTAATCATAGTGTATAGAAAAAGCACGGTCAGTTTTTACTCGTATGTTCTCAATTTTTTCTATCCACTCTTAATTTATTTGCCGTATAATGCTTTACCTTTAAAGCCTAATGTTACTGCCTAAGGTACCTTTTTCTAATTAGTAATCTCCAGTATTTTTAATAGTTCATTTATTCTGTAATTTATCCAGGCGGGTTTCCTAGAACTGTGGAGTATTTTAGGGTTCGTCATCCCCATTCATGCCACATCGCCGTCCTACCTGCGTAATTGTTCTGAAGACGCACGTTTTGACCGAAGCTTAGCCCCGGGAGTTGAGTAAATTAACTAAAGTCATAACGGAAGAGACTGATATGCTTCCAAAGTCGCGCAGGGCCAAACCCCAATCTCTAATGGTACATTAGACGAGCCGTCTGCAACTCCTGCGATGTTGTGCTTGGCGTGCAGTCTCATGTGGTTTCAGCATGTCCGTTTCCTGACAGACATTGATATACGTGGTTGTAACGCTGTAATCCTATTTGCCGCCTATGTGGTTCACGCATGTATTTTCTCACTTTTGGTTTGGAATTTGAGAACTCTTTGGAAGTGTTCCTGTACTTCAACCTATTACATTCAGGTACTTCGAATGAAGGTGGACCTAATTGGTGAGGTTCTACAAGCTCGGAAGCCAGTTAGTGAGGTGATTGTCGACCTTCTATTGCCTGAATTGATTGATAAAATTGGCGACATAAAGGTTGGTGAGGCGGTAAAGCAGACCCTTACGACTCTCGCAGAAGCGACCGCCTTCGAAGTCGTTGGTAGTCAGGTCCTGAATGCGGCGTTCCAGCAAAAGAGTCCCAAGAACCAGGTCGAAGCCCTTAATTGGCTTGCAGGAGCTATCAAGGAGTTCGGTTTCAAGTAAGGCCTTTGAGGTTCTAGCACTTGTGGCCCAAAATTAGTTTTGACAAACTCCTGTAGCATGGCCATATGGGGCGAACAGATGATGGTATACCTATTCTCTGCCCACTGTGGATTGGATAGCACCGTGGAAATAAAATTAAAGAGGTGTTGGGCACTAGGTCTGACTTCGAATAAGTATTTTCTAATTTGCTTGAGAAATGCGCTTCTGCGGAGATGCGAGATGTTAAATTGCTTTATGAAGGCATTTTTGATAGTAAACACAGAACATTCTGGTTGTCTATGTAACCCTTATTGTAATTATCCCATGTCTCTTCCCAAAGGATGACCCTATTATTATTCGATAAGCAGATTTTTCGAGTTGTAATTGCATTGGAACTTCCATCGAATCCCGTCACCACCAATATTAATAAAAATGCGCTTTATTCACTTTTCTCTTAGATGTTTTTAAATATTTTCAAGTGTTGTGAGCCCCGGCTGATGTGTTCCCATCCCACGAATTGCTTCATTAGTTTTGCGTGAATTCGCCTCCCTAATAAGATTTCCTTGTTATTGTGCATAAGTTATTGCCTTGTAAAGGAATCGCGCTTTAGCGAGTTTGTAAACCGCTTCATTAAAGAAATGAGCCTCTGTATTTTTTTACCAATAGGGTACTCGTGTACAGAAGTTTTTGTCTTTTGTTATAACTTTGTTTCAATTCCTTAGACTTAATTCCAAACAGACGGTGAGTTTCTTAAAGACGGGCCTCAGTGCGACCAACATGAACGTTCGTCAATCTTGCATCCACTTGTCAGCAGTGCTCTACATGTACATGGGAGCGACACTGCGCACTCTCCTTGCCGACGAAAAACCCGCGATGGTTGCTATGCTAGAGGAGGAGTGGGCTAAGTTGGGCGATTCGAAGCCCCCTCCCCCCACTCGAGGTTTCCGTCTAGTCAAAAAGGAGCCTTCAGTTGGCGACGGGGGTAGTGCCCAGGCCGCGGCTGAGCAGGAAGTTGAAGCACCTCCTGAACCTGAAGATATCGTCGACAGGACCGACATAAGGTATGCTTAGTGTCCATTTCAATCGATTTCTTAAACGAGGGGATGTTTTGCTCACTGGATGGAGGTGTGATCCTGCTGATTGTTATCTTACATTTTTTTCGCTGCAACTCGTGGAATAAGTTTTCATACTGGCTGATTTCCGTCAACTTTTAGGATGGTAACTGTTAAAGGAATAACCATGGAAGTCTGAGGTCCTCAAATTTTGGGTTCAAACCTTTCAGCTCACATGTTGTATTAGCTGTCGGGTCTGGACCGGGGTTATTGAGTGATGTAATGTTACTAGGCTCTTTGGTACGTCTTGCACTGTTTACCACGCGATTAAGGATATGCTGGAAATTCCGTGTCATGAGGTCACTCACCATGAATTTACCGTGTATTCAAGCCTCATTTATCTTTTTCTGACGTGAAAACGCATCAGTACTCCAAAATTGATACGCTTGTGCTGTGCTGCTGTCGGTTGTGGATCCAACCAGTCACTGCTATCGATGTCATTCTCTTTCCAGTTGTCTATTTATAAGTCTTTAAATGTAAATGAAGGTATTTTGGCTAATCGTAAAGGCGCCAGACGCCGAATTGGCAGTCGATCCTTTCAAAGCCTTCTCGTTTTCAGAAATCCCAGTGTAGCACCTTTTCGAACTTTCTCCTAGATCCCTCTGTCATTCCCGATCACGGATTCCCCGTTCAGTTTTGCCTCTTCCTCGTCGAACTTATCGAACTTCTCGCGGAAAACCTTTATACTGACTATCATTTGTGCACGCTCATTTTTACTGCTCCATCATGCGTCCTCATACCAATTAAATATGTTTTCCACGGTGTTGGTTATTTGGTTCCGGAAAATTCAAAAGCATTTTCTTCCTGAGTGTCAGCTTGTGTCATCTGAAGTTCTTCCAAAGCCATGTAGCTAGCTTGCTAAATTGTTTATTCTTTGCGGCCGTTTTCGTGCGTCGTAACGCTTTAGTGGCTTCCGCCTTTACTTGTGTGACTCTTTAATCGCTCTTTACGTATTGGACAAACGTTTTGACTAAGTTCTGCACAACTTGTAAACGCTTTCTAATTCCTGCCTTGGGCTAAGTATTTGCGTAGATGTCAAAAGATCCGGCGCTGTAACTTTGCAGACGTTCCACATTTGCTCCGTGTATGTGTGCGAGACGAGTAACGTAATTGAGCCCTCTGAAGGATTTTTTATTCTCGTATAAATCAACACGCGCTTTCTCACCCAGCCAGCTATTCAATCAACATTACTTTTTGTGGCATTCGATAAAAAGCGCACTATTTGTTGACACGGTCAACGCAATATGTGATTGATACTTTTGTATATTTTTAGCGAAAAACTGAGCGGTGACGTTCTGACTCTGATTGCAAGCAAGAACTGGAAGGAACGCAAAGAGGGCCTTTGCCAAATAGAGGAATTGCTGAAGAGCTGCCCTTTTATTATGGGTGGCCATGAAGTTCAGGAGCCGCTTGCTGCCATCGCCAAGGTTTGTACCGATGTGAACAAGATCTTGGGTAAAACCGCTCTGGGGTTGATGGAGACATTTGCAAAGGCCTTCTCGAAGACCGACGCTAAAAAACTCGTCAAGTAAGTCGGGCGTAAAACATGCATCGACAACTCGATTTTCCCTTCCTCGTTCGTACAGATGCTTATAACTAGTTTTCATGACACCTCCAAGGGTTATTTGGTCGAGTTCTTTTCAGCGCGCCACTAGGATGTGTTCGGATAGAGTGTCGCTTTATTCAAAGATGGTCTAATTCATCTTATGATGTTTAGCTCCGAATATTATTGGACCAAATGTTTTTACAACTGGAGACCGCCATGTTAGCTAAACATACCAGCTATTTCCCAGCCTTTTACTCGCCACTTTTCAGATGTGTTGAACCGTCCATTTTGGCGTGCCTCGGCGACTCAAAGCCGGTTGTTCGCGAAGCAGCTGTAACCGCGCTAAATGCATGGAGGGACCGTTGTGGGTTTGTACCAATGACGGAGAATGACATGCTCTCCGAAGCCTTAAAGGTGTGTGTGGTTGTTTTATTAAACTTATGGTTGTATTCGATTATGCTTTTTTAAGGCTATTCAGCAATGTGTTTGTAACATCGTGTTTTTAAAATGCACGGAAATTAATGACTTTTTGTCGAATGTTGTGTTTATGTTGAAGAGTTTCGCATAATATGCATTCTTTCTTAGTTGGCCTTCACGGGCCTTTTCACGTACGTTTTTCCCAAGACGCCATGGTCCCCAACTGGTGTTTGCCCTGAGGCATGTGAGAAGAGTTTCCTGGCTCAATATGCTACACCGTTGGGGCTACAGAGGCATGTCATGCGCTTCCGAGGTGGGTAGTAGGCAGGCTTTGCTGTCCATGCGATGAAGCTCAAACACCACTTTGCTGTCGAAAGTTTTATTTGCGTGGATACCACATCCTTGCTGTCTTGGTTCTGACTCATTAATTACCTTCGATGTAGAAGTCGCAGCAACGCCGAAATGTCAGGTCGTCCACTGCGATACTTTGTTTTTCCGGATTTAACCAACCTTGGTATTAATTGATCTATTTACCTTAGCGAACCTGAATCATTCCCGTGTTTGCTTGACTTTTAGCATTAAGTTTTTAACCATTAAATTCGTCAGCATTATCGATATTTATTTATCGTCATTTTCACTTTATGTTCATTGTGATATCAGAAGCGAATAGTTGCTGTACCACTTTTACTACCTTCGTGACGCGTCTCGAACTCATTAATAAACAATTTTGCGAATATGTAATGTTGTGGATACGATTTTTGTGAGTTTGACCCGCAAAATTATGTCTAGCCGTGAAATTGTGCAAAATATAGGGACCTAGCTCATAACTCATTATAAATTTGGCTCTAGGAATGATGCTCTGTATTTGCGAATTCGTTTAATGTAGTCGACAGCACATGCTCAGGCTCGTTTCCGCACAATAATCTTCCGTTGTGTCGTTGCACGTTGTGAAAGATGAGATGCCAATGGTGAGTCACACTAGATCACATTCTCACATTAATCGAAGTTATCGTTATTTCGGGTCTACTTAGTAACATCCAAGACCTCTGTTTTAACCTAATCACTTTGAAAGCAGGCTGCTCTAGGTCTACATAGTTAGCTTTTCGAAATGGTGGCTTAAGTTGAGACATTTCTAGCTACACCATGATGATTTTACGGTGCGAATTTGATTGGTACGTGCCTTGAAGCTCCCAAACAGAATTTTTTCTTTATGCAGCACTGTAGAACGAAAAACGGATTCGGTTGCTTTAAATTAACTACATCCTCTCAACTTGGACCTTAATGTGTCTGCACAGATGGGACTCAGATAATCCCCTTAAATGGGCCACTTTTAAACATTGCGAAGTCTGGTTTCCAGGATCACTCGGGGACTTGACAAATGCACAAACTTTTGTTTTGTCGACCCATACTTTTAAGTTATTTGCAAACTTCCCAATAGAACTGGTGTATTTTTTGTTAAGACCAAGTTGGTGCGTAACTGTAATGAGTGGAATTTCACATAAATCAATCAAGTTCAAAAAGTTCTTTAGTGCAGAGTCCTTCGTCGTATGTGTCTGAAGTTCCTTGCATGCAAATACCTTTTCCATTATTGCAAACATGACCCTTTCATTGCTCAACGGCATCACTTACGCTATGTTTGCAACAATTGCTGAGCTTGAGGTTGAACGCCTGTGCAGACCCGTTGGTTCAAGCCAAGTAATTTTCCTTGCATGCCAGGCAGAGAACCCCTTCCTGCGTGCCGAGCTTCTCAACTGGCTTACGACGGCAATGGCTGGCGAGCGACTGAGTGGCAAGGCTGCCATCTCAGCGGGTCTTTCGCCCGACTTCGCCCTCAACCTCGCCCTCGCCGTCTACCCGGTGTGCGAGGACCGCAATCCGGACGCGCGCCAACGAGCCCACAAAATCCTCCCTGTACTCATTCGCGCCCTCGGGTATGAGGTGATGGTAAAGGCCCTGAAACGCCTAAAAACAACTTCTATGGACGCGGTCTCCCCCTTATTGGAGAAGGCCAAGGAGCAGGTGGCTGCTGAAGATGCAGCGAACCCCCCAAAAGTCGAACAACCGAAATCGAAGGCCTTGCGAGGTGGTGGAGGGTTGAAAAAAGAGGCGGCGCAGCCATCGCCGGATGAGGTGCCCACTGAAACGCCTTCTCCATCAGGTTAGTCATCAAAAGTTGTGGCGAAATAAGTTCGGTGTTTTACTCAAAAGTTGGTGGGGGTACCTTTTCATAGTTCGTGAAAATCAAATAAAAAAATGACATTGTCGATGGCTGCGGATCTCTACATCTGCCTTGGTTATGTATTTAATTATAAAGTACAAACTCAACTGGCTATTTATTAATGCTTCGTAAGTTCAGTTTGAATGTAGATATAAGTCTGATTCCTACCACAATGGATAAACTAGTGTTTTTTTCCTCACAAACTCAGTCTATTTTCTTCCACAAACTCGTAATTTCCCCTTCTATGGGCTTTGTTTCTCCCCAGTTTGGAGTTGTCACGGTGTTTTGCGCTGTATACATTTTTAGTTGGTCATTATGAATCTTATTTTAGCAACATCTAGTTCTATGAATTTAAAATCAGACACTAACCATTTTAAAACCCCATTGACTTCAACCAGTCCTTTTGAGTATCCACCCTTTCCTGAAATTTGTCATCATCCAATGGTTTTGCCTCTGCCGAAGCGACTTGTCGGTTGCGCAATGCCCTATCACCGCACCAGTTATTGTGGGTGGTGTTTTGCCCGAACATCGATGCAGGCTGGACATCAAAGCCACTTAATAAAAGCAGTCGATAGTATAGAAGTTAAATTCTTCTTAACACTCAATTCGACTTTTACGTTGTATCTCAGTGTGATTTAAATCACCCATGAAAGTGGCCTTCACTAGGGTTGCGTGTGGCTTAAATGTTTTTTTGTCGAAATGGACGTATTATGAATAACTTTGTGGTATTCATACCTAACTCCTCAGACATCGCCTCGACCCCCGACGTGGACGATGAGCCATCAGTTGCCTCGACAGTCAAGCCAACGGCGAAAAAGGGCGGTGTGAAGAAGCCCGCCATGACGTCGAAGCGAGCCGCTGCGCTGGAGCAGGCGGAGGAGGCGGCTGCTGTTGTTCCTCTCCAGGTGAACAAACTTCGTGAAACTCGGATTCAGGATGAAAAGAAACGAAGGGTGAGTTCGAATGTACCGTCTGCGTTTTTGACATCAATGCTGCCGTTCAAGAAATGCTTTCTCCTCAAGTCGACTGTTGTTAAGACAAAAATTATGTTAGCCTCGTAAACCTACAAAAATGTGCAAATTGCATTTTACCTACAGTAAAAAGGGTCAACCTAGCTTGGTACAGATGCACGCATCCATCTTTCAATCAGCTTAACATGTTATATGATGCAACTTCGCGACGCTTTATTGCCGCCAATTTCATTATTTCTATTCTTACATTTTCTTGGCACACATTGGCTCTTTAGTCGATTCTGCCTAGATCATGTACGCAATGCTACTCTAGTTCACCGTAAAGACAACTGGTTTCTGTTAAAGGTTTTGAAACTTCTGGATTTATTGCATCTAAATAGCGACTTTTTAACTTCGTTGTTCAGCTTCTCAAGTGGGACTTTGATGTTCCCAGCAAGGACCACGTGCAGCAGTTGAACACATTGTTCACATCTGCAGGGGCCTCCTCTGACCTTCACGCCTGCCTCTTCCATTCTGACTTCAAACAGCACATCAGGGCGGTTGATATTCTCACACGCCTTATCGAGGGCGGCTGGCCCGCAGTCGACGGGGAGGCGGCTACTCGTGCCAATCTGGACCTCATCCTTCGGTGGATGGTGCTTCGTTTCTTCGAAACCAGTCCCGCCTTCCTCTCCAGAGGTGAATTACCCAAATCAGTCTTTGCCTCCCACTCTTCTCAATGATTTCCTGCTAGTTTTTCCCTTTGTGGTTTTCTCGTTTAGTGGACCTTGAAAAGTCACGAGAATGAACGCATTTCATGGGCGGTTAACCTGTCACCTTTGCCGATTGTATTTTCTTAGGTTGCGTTATGATTGTACCGATGCAGAAGTCCCCATGGTAGGGTTCTTTTTCGCCAACCAGACTACTCTCGTTTTAGGTCTGGAGTACCTGCTCAAGGTGTTTACTCGGATGTCCGATATGGAGCACCAGCTGCCGGAGTACGAGGCCTCCGCTTTCCTACCGTACCTCGTCATGAAGGTGGGCGATCCCAAGGATAACATTCGTAAGGACATTCGGGCCTTGTTCCGGGTCATGACGAGCATCTACCCACCCAGCAAGTTCTACGCATATCTCGTCGGAGGCCTTAAGTCAAAAGTCAACAAAGCACGGCAAGGTAAGCAAACACTGAATCCAATGCGATGGAGAGTTTAACTAGGCCATTTGGCGACCCCCTTTTTTTGATTGTGTATTCTCCAGAGTGCTGTATTTGTAGGCACTCAGTTTCACTCATTGGTTACTGTTTTTGTAAATCCAGCCAAAACTTAAGCTAATTTACTACTCACGACATGGTAATTTGTGACCGGGCTCCATCGCTAGCAGGTGTTTATTACTCTGACACAGTGGTAACACTTCCTTTGAGGAGGACAACTATGGTTGGTGTGTCTTTCTTGTTGACAGCTACTGTGTGAGAAGGGTTTTCTGCTCAAAATGCTCGTGCACCATGCATTGTCATCCGATGCTTTTAAAGTCGGTCCCGCACAAAAGTCATGTGTTTGAATGCTATTTGTCGGAGCTTACTCCTCCTTATCAATCCATTGCACCCAGTCTTAGTTATGTCTTCTGTCATTTCAATTTATTTTGTTGGATGCATGAAATTTTGTAACCCAGCGGACGTTGATGAAGTCTGTTTCGTTTATTAGAGTGCCTCGAGGAGATGGGGCTCATGATCGACCACTTTGGTCTAAATGTCTGCCAACCCTCGCCTGCAGCTTCGCTCAAGGTGATTGCCGCTCAAATCAGTGACCGCGACTCTGGTGTTCGCACAGCCGCTCTCAATGCCCTGGTCTGCGCCTACGCGATTGTCGGTGAACCAATCTGGAAGATGCTTGGACAAGTACGAATTTGTCTATCACCAGTACTTCCTTCCAGCGTGGTTGTGTTATTTCACTCCCACGGTCCTCATCGCTTCCGTCCCTAATTGTTGGCTCAACGACAACACTTGTTTCCTTTGTTTTTTTTTCATTATAAAGCTCTCTTTTTCACATGCTACTATGAGAGTGCATGTAAGAGAACCTAGTCTCTTGATAATAATGTAAAAAGAGAGCTTTAGTGCCAAAATGAATTCTCTTGCACCATGGGTTTCAGCAAATATAATGTTCAGGTTTTTATAGCAGTTCCGATCTATGTGATGTCCGCTAGTCATTCAGAATCAGTAGAAGTTTGGACAGTGGCTGCTTTGCCATTATGAAAATGACCAGATCAACTGCAATCCAACTCTTAAAACCTTGTTTTCGGCAACTACCTAGGCCAAACGATCACTCTAATTTAGCTGTTTCGAATGTGTAGGCATGTTCATTGGAAGTTGTAGAATCTGTCGCCGTGCTTTGTGGGAACTTTCAGTTTATCTTGCGATGGGTTTTATTTGGTGTGTCCCATCACCTGATTATTTGCAGATGCCTGACAAGGAGCGATCAATGCTAGAAGAACGCATCAAGAGGGCCGGTAGACCGTCCACTGCCGCATCGAATTCAACTGTCTCAAAGCGTTCCGCATCCGAGCGACCTGTGAACCGGAGGTATGTCACACAGGAAATTTGCATATTCGGTCTAGTGAGCCTTGTCCTAAAGCCTTCTAGGCCTTCGTTACCACTTAAAAAGGCTTACCGGGCAGGTGACCAACTCAATCGAACAGACTGTGCCATAGATATCGATCTTGTTTCCTTATGTACATCTTTAAATGCCCTATAACTTGAGCTCGACTTGGTTCGGGTATTCACTTATCACAATCTGGTTCGCAGGGTTGCGCTGTACATAGCTTTTAAGTCAATTCTTTGTAAGCTGGTGAGTTTTTAATCGTGCTGACGAGCGTTAGTAACCTTGCGATGCTTATCGTTAATTGCGTGTTGCATTTCGTACACGACGCTTCCCAAGTGCCGTGCTCTTCTTCAAGATGACCACCGACATTGTACCTCCGCGCAGAATTCGTGTTCATCTTTGTTGTTAATTTATGCAAAAGAATGATGTCATTGTACCACTAGGTCACGTTGTTCGTCATTGGCTGACTTTGGTATCTGAAAAGACTTAGTTCCATTGAGGAATCTGCTCCAAACTGCAATTGTACTTTGGGATCTTTTGTCCCAAAGGGACTTTTAAGAAAGCGTGGGAATCACGGTATTTAAAAGCTGACTTATGTATAAACTGCTTGCAGTTTCCTGCGGACTTTGAATGCTGTGGCCTCGCAGTCATTTTGGGGTCCTTTTTACATCGAATAACCAAAGTCCCTTCGCTCTGTCACAAGTGCGGGCAGTTAACATCTAGCTTATAATGGTCTTAGCAAGCACGCCTACTTACAAGTAGCCCCTAACTCGTACTATTCACAACGAACTAATAATCGATCTTCGTTTCTTTTTGTAGAGAAACACAAGTCAACGGTCCTCCTGGTGCAGTCCAGCAGCAGTCGTATGGTGCGGTTGGAAATTATGGAGCAGCACCAGAGGCACCGCAGTCTGTGCACGCAGTCGCCTACGCCAAGGCTCAGCACATGCTCAGCTCGCTGGGTGACTTGAATCCTGAACACCCACCTGCTATGCCCAACCTTCTGCAGTTTGATAGGGATATAAATGAGTTGTTCAAGCCTATTGCAATTCCCGAGCTCAAGTAAGTCATTTTCTCGCGTAGTGGTGAAAGATGCTTCAATTTCCTTGCACTCTATCAGAATAAGGCGGTGGTGACTGGCGCTACGTTGAGTGGTAAATAATTCAAGTTGTGTGAGTTCATTGGAAGCACCACTGGGTGTGTGAGTGCAGCCGTGTTTATTACCGCTGTTTATTAGCGCTTTCAAAAGCAACAATTCGCCGTAGTCCTCATTTTCACATGCTCCAACCAGCTGCATTTTGCTTTCTTGTTCTTTCCTCACGCGTACAGCCTATGGCATGCCGCATAGGAAAACTCATCGTGCAGTAGTGTTCCCCTTTGTTTTAGCCAACACTAACCACACAGCCATGTGTTGTGTGCTGGGTTTCTCGCATTTGTAATTATTCTGATCCCAAGTGCAGGCATTGTCGGTGTTCGTGACCTGGCCAGCCGGTTGTAGGTGGTGACTGTTCCCACGCCCTATTCCCTCTATTTGTATACATAAAATCCCTCTTCAACGCATGTCTTCCCTAGGTCCATAAACAAGTATGGTATTCGAAAGAGTAGTTCGGTGTTCTGTAATTTGTTATATAGTGTTCGATTTCTTGTTAAAATTGTTTCGGCTTTCGTTTATGTGCGCTTTTTTGGTGTGAATGTGTTGAGTTGTACGCTCATAGTCACTAGACTTTTATTTCCAAGGCAAATCAGTCATGTTGGCATCAAACCTAAATCTTACATTATATTCACTCATCTCTCCATGACAGCACACTGTCTTACTTTTTTACCAACGAAGAGTGGGCTCATGTTTGTTCTTTCTTACCAACCATGAACTTATTTGCTTAGCATGTTACGCCGTTTGAAGAATGATTGAGGTAAATTTGGTCAGAACGGTGACTCATATTCCTGCGCCACGTGTTCCCCACCACGCAAACCTGCTTATCACCGAATTTCTACGCTTTTTTGTGCATTTCGTTTCATGGCTAAGCTTCAGCGTTATTTCTACTAAAGTAGCTGGATTTTAATATTCAAGATAATAGTGGCTTTTTGGTTTGGGCTTATGTCCGTGCGTTTAAAATTTAGTTGTTTCGCTCAAGCAATTTCTTACTCCAAAAGTAGGTTAACAGGCGAGTTTTCTTCCGACTAATTACACGTCTCCCGTCATACGGACACTTCGTAGACCACTTTCCCAAACGGTGACTTTCTTAACTTGCCTTTAATATGATGCCATGTGACCAAATATTTCATAGCCGAATACCTATTTGAAGTATATTATACTCCTCATGTCACGGCAACTAAAACAGAACCTTAATTTTGTATCAGATCTTGAAGCCCTTCGGCAATGAAATTTATGTGACGTATTTAACAAATGGTAAACTGTAGCAATAAGCATTTAGTGGTCTGCTAAGGGAAGCATCTTTTTGACCAAAGTTACAATTTTAAAATGCGAAAAGTACCACTTCTTAAATCCTTCATTTTAAAGCAAAGTTTTCGGTTAAAAGAGAAGCTTTGTTGCTTGGCCCTGATTGGGTGGCTGTATTGTGACTTCCAGAATTTTGATAATTTATCCCACACACTTTTTATATGCGCACTTTTCCACGTCGCTGTTCGAGGCACTTAAGTGACGCTTATCGTTCATAACGGAGCCACTGAACAAATCAATTTTGCCACAACGAGTCTGTTAATCAGGCTTCTCTCATTGCCTGATTTTATAGGATGCGGGACAAGCAGACAGTGCTGAACTGTCTCCTGCGAACCAGTCCTGATGCAGCGTCAGCCATAACAATGGTGGTTACCCAGATCTCCTCCAATGATCTTAACGTCTGTTGCCACGCTCTAAGTCAGATCGACGCTTTGCTACAAAGTAAGCTCGTATAAGCTATGTCGTGTGTTTAGCAAACTCTTTGTGTGCACGTCTTTGTAACTTTACTATTGGTCGGACAAACCAACCATCTGGTGTTTCTTTATTGGTGCTAGTTGTTTGGTGTGCTTATCTTTGCTTTTTGTCCGTTTCACAGGTGATAAGTGGCAACTCCTGGTCGGCCATGTCAACCAGATCATCACCCTTATAACAATTCAGCTTCGCCAAACGAATTCTCGTTTCTTCGACGATCCAACCATCACTGAGAGCCATTTATCAACTGTCTTGCGCTGCCTTTTGGTCACCACAGAATCGGTGGGTTACAAGTCAATTGCTGAGCACTTACCTTTCATTTGCACCTTCCTTGAAAAGCCGCTCTGCTTTCATTCTATGCTATAATTAACTCAGTTTTATGTTCACCTGACTTACCTGCTGAGAGAAGTGGGTGCAGTTATTAACCTGTTTACCCTTTTCAGCGGGCTATACCATTGCAGTGTGTGCTTTTGCGTGGCAAATTAGGGCTCACATCCGTGGGCTTGCCGGTGGTATTTTGCTAAAGTCGCTTCGTCACCGGATTGCATCACTTCGATTGTAATAGACTTATTGGTGAAAATATTCAATTTGGTGACGGTTTTTTCCCACCAACTAAGTCGTCAATGTGGTCATTGTCTCATGGCTTAGGTTATCGTACATATCGGCCAAACGCACCAAACCATGAAAAAACCCAAATGTGCTCTTATGCTTTTCTTGCCTGATCTCTGATTAATTCAATGGGGGCACGCCGATTACCATTCTTTTTCCTCTCCTGTAGATCTTCAAGCGCTCTCAGCTGGCAAGAGAAGCCTCTCGGGAGTCTCTGAAGGAATATCTTTTCGCTTCACTGCACCTGATGGTACACGAGAAAACTTCCGAATTACCTGAAGGCAGCGGAATCGTTCGAACTATTAACGCGATAACACTGCACGTCATTGAGGCCTCGAACTGCACGCGTGTCCTTGGGCAAGTTTGGTCTTATCTTTGTTGAACTAGTGGTTTTGTGCTCATTCCAAATTCCCTTTTCAACCGCCTCCTGCATTTGCCCGCAGTGTCGTGCTACTTCACAGCCCCACTATTTTACTGTCTGTTACCCGTGAACAGAGAGCGGTCCGTTGTGTGTGCGATCGGAGTGGGCGTTTAATTGAAAATGTGCGCAGTAAGGATTGGCTGTGTGGGAACCAATAAAACAGCAAGATGAGTCACGGACCCCAGTCAACCCACGCAATCCTCCGCCCAATGCCCACAACAGGCTGTCACGACGTCGCAGTAGGAATCGGTACACGCTTTTTCGTCATTCTGGTGGTTCAGATATTTTTTGAACCGCTCCAGAAGTAACGTAGGCACTCCATCAGGTTTTTAGAAATGCCATTCGTAGCTGCAATCACTGATCAGGCCTGCGCTCGGGGGCCAACGTGTGGACAGGCACCCATTACAAGTTACTGTTTTAGTGACCATCTGTTTTATAAGGGACTTGGGATCGAATTGTGAATACTTGACTGCTCGATGCTCAAAAGAGCCTGCTCTGTCGTTTTTATTGGCTTTCTTGTATGGTTTCTTTCCTCGAGTCTCTTTCTAAACTTGACTGTATAAAGTTGCTCCTGTTTGGAGCTTGTTTTTGGGTCACCCGTAGGTGCTGGTGATGAAGGGTTGAATTTGGCAGTTTTGGAGCGAGGCACTTGGTTAGTTGAGGTGCAGTCTAGTGACCCCCGCAGGAAACCCCTCACCTCCTTCACTTCTTTTAGCGCCTTCATCCGACTGCTGCACGAGAGCGTAAGTAGCGGCCATTTCAACAACAGGTTCACTCAGGTTGTTCTTCGAAGTCTCTGGAGGATTACTAAAGCGCTTCCAAGTACAGGTTGGTTGCAGACATAGCTGCCCCGCTGTCTCTTTATCTCCCAGAACAATCCTACGTAATGTGCCCCGCCACAAATTGAACCGCAAAATTGTTAGTAATACTCGACCGGGATACGTATGTGCCAGTCTTCGCCATTGCAGTAGCCTTAAAGCCTTGAAACAAATTTTTCCCTTCTTCGAAAGCGCTTTTACGTTGGTCTTTCTACTGCCAAATTTTGCCATGCCCATAACAGTATGTTTCACCTACATCTGCACCGGAACAGTGCAGTTTGATAATTCAAATAAAAAAATAATTTTTTTTTATTTTTTGCCAAATTCTAAGCTAAACGCAACTTAAACGGATGCGAAATTAGGTTTTTCGTAACCCTGCTTTTTAATAGGCAAAAGGAAACTCTTGTTGGCTGTTATCACTCCAAAATGTGCTTTAGCGTCTTAATATTTTGCTCATATTTGTGTTGTTTAAGTGACGCTGGACACTGATTGATTGGTACCATAAACGTGTATTGCTTTTGGTTAATTTTAAATAAAACACGCCATTTTGATGTCATATTGATTTGGCCGGGTTAGTGATCACGGCAGCAACTCTACGGTTAAAACTCCTGCTGTGGAAAATTGGCGGATCGGCAACTTTGGACTTTTCCCGTTGAATAACAGGTCCCGCAATGTGTGCCATCTTATCTATTACCATTTTCAGCAAACGCCTACGCGCTTGACCTCGTTCTTTTGGACTGTCACAATTTCCTCAAGGCGTTTCCTTCGCCTTCGTGGAAGACCCGCAAATCCGATCTGCCCCTCCGCACCATCAAAACGATGCTTCACTCATTCTGCAGCGTCCGAGGTCCTTCCGCGCTGAAATTCCTCGATCTCATTCCACACAAGGTACTGTTCGTTGCTTCATGTGATTATGATCATTCCTTGTGCTGAGTTTCTTGCCCTCCAATTAATCGAGCTGTCTTAGTGTTGTCCTTTTAAAACTTATTTCATTGTACCATAGCCGCCTATTACAGTTTGTTTAAGCGAGTGGAAGTTGGCCCGGCTCTGAATAGACACGGAAAACGGAAAGCCAGTTAACTTATGCTGTTGTGGGTATTGCTGTTACAACATTTAAATGGATTTTCGTTAGCGCGTTATACATGGGGTTGAGCTCGTTTTTCTCTTACGACACAGCGATGATCGCTTTGGGGGGGGGGGGGCGTCCGGCGGGGGTTGGGCTTTCCAGTGCCGTCGGT